CACGAGGAGCAAGGGCATCGCTACTAGGGGCTCCTGGCCTTACCACTGGGAACAAGAAGCTACTAGGAGCAAGGGCATCGCTACTAGGGGTGGTGAAATTGTTTAAACAACTTCTCTGTCTTTCTTGTACGCACATGCGCATGCGTCAAGTGAGAAGCTACAGGTGTCTTGCAGAGTTTTCATTCTATTTCATTCTGAATTATGGTGGGTTGAAAAAGTCCGCACAGGGGGGCGCTATCAGGTTGGCGGTCATCCCAAGTAGGGTGCAGGCCATCGCTTCTAGGTTGGAGGCCATTGCTATTAGATTGGAGGCCACCGCTATTAGGTTGGAGGCCCTTGCTATTGGGGTGATGACCCCGCGACTCACAGACGCCCGATGTGAATGTTCTCAGTTGGGGGGAATTCACCGGTGTTCGGGTTTCATTTATATTAGATGATAATAGATCATATACAATATAACACAATATATACAATATTATACATAAATACCAGGACCTTCAAAGTGACCCTTTGATATCCCAGGATGAGGTCACTTAGGTCTGTACAAGGTCACTTAGAGAGTCTAAAGAGGTCACTTTGAAGGTCCTGGTATATATTATACATAATATAACTATAAATACAATATATACATGTCATATGTCGATGAATATTGGATATTAGATGATCTTATACCCACCACTTAGAGATGTCCATTGGACACCCATTGGATGGCCCAGGTTGTGTTTTGTTCTTTGGGCACTCTCAAGCGATTCTTGAGGTCCATCAATCTGAGTTTTGCTGGACCACTTCGACTGCAGCTGGCACGCATGTTCGTGCTTGTGTTGCTTGTCCTCCTGGTGATTTTCTGATTCAAGAAGCTGCCCTCATGAAAGGCCGTCGTCTATTCAAGGAATGTATGTTTCCGCTTCACACAAAGGGGAGAAGCTTCCAGCAGCGAATGATGCGAATCTGCCTGAACACGACTTCAAGTACCTGAGTATAGATGGGACATGACTCCAATATACCAAAAACAGCTACGACTGGACTCATGTTCTGAGGTAGTTTCACAGGTCAACTCCAGGTTATAGATCACTCTTTTGTCACTGTTCGGCCAAAGCTGCCGAACATGATTCCTGCGTCCTCCCGTCTTGTACAGCACCTCCGTGCCTGGCGGTTCAACAGTTCGCTCAGCAACGGACCCAATGGACCGTTCGACGAAGCCAAGCTAAAGCCAGTACGTCTCGCCAGTCGTAGGACCGCACGGACTATGCTATTCTATACCTTAGAACATGGGTGAACATGCCCTAGGGATCCTGTCGTACATTCTCAGCAGGTGATGTGTTCGACACCGCCATGTAGGTTTGGAGGGTCCAAGTACCTTCTGAGAAGGTACGACTGGAGCCCTAGGGATGGGACATGTCAGACATGACCTCATTAAAAGACATAGATCGGAGGTACGACCAGGTCGACTCCAATTTGAAAGGGTGTCCTTAAAGACGGAGACATGTGCACCAGACGGATGTAGATCACCTGCAGCACCTTCATTTTTGCGGAGAATGGTGACACCAATCTGACACATTGCCGAAAGCAAAATGCAGGAGCATTGGCTTCAAAAACATCTCCAGTTCGCTTCAAAGACCAGACAGCCAGCAGCTCACAAAGCGGTGCTATCCATGGAGGGAATCGGGGTGCCCATTATCCACATCCACTCGCTGGATGGGACTCAAAAGCACCCCGAGCTCTGGAGGCGTTTCTTTCCAGACGTCGTTCTCCGACTCGATCCGGTCGTTCACCGCACGGACAGCGGGGGCCATCTCGAGCCGAGGGTCCTTGTGGGATGCCGGTCAGGATGCGGATGAGACCTACGAATTGGATGCAGTGGCGGATTTGGCCATTTGGGTCAAGAGTTCCATCCAGCTACTCGTTTGGTATACCACCGCGTCGACACAGCTGCACCACCACGCGGGATTTACCGCGTTTTGGTTCCTTTCGGCGCTGGTCGGTGTGGATGAAACCGGCGGGTGCTTCAGAAAGAAGTCTTCTGGAACAGGGCAAAAGGGAGGTTCAGATACCAGAACCCTCCAGTCCAGGTGTTTCCTGGTGACAAGATCGGTGTCCAGGTAGCACCTGTGAGTGTTCCAAAACAGCCGAACCTTGGAGGGTCCTGGTATATATTATATATACCTGGACCCTGAAACGATGTCTTTTTTTCCGTCTCGCCAGAAAACATGACGCAAAAACATGCAGCAAATTCGCGATAGAAAACATGACGCCAAAATGACGCAGAAGTGACAAAAAACAACGCAGAAGTGACAAAAATCGACACCAAAACTGTTTGTTGTGTGGGTTTTTTGAGCTTCGCCTGAAAATTGCCCTCACCAGAAAAAAATACGTCTTTTGCGGGGTCTAGGTATATATATAAGGAACTTTCGCAAAAGTTAGTCTTTTCAGCTTTTGGTTCCTTGCCTTTCTGAAGGATATGTGTGAGAGGGATTAGGTGTTGGTTGGGAGCTTGGCTCGCTATCCCCACAGCCCATTTATAGCCCGCCACAGCCAAAGGGATAGGTGGATAGCCATGAAGCGTCCAGCATCTGGCATTAAGAAGCCGGCAGCAAAGATGAAGAAGCCTTCTTCCAGGACCGCTGGCTGCTTCGTGGAGGGGTGGCAGGATGTGGAGGTAACTGGGGCGAGGAAGACGCCACTCAGAGACCGGAGTTGAGTTTGGCTCAAGGGCCAACAAGCAAAGATCAAGAAGGAAGGTGTTAAAATCACTGAAAGGGTGATATGATTTCCCTCCAAGTGTTCTGAGGGCCTTTCGGGCTGACTAACTGATTGATTCATTTCTTTTGAGCTACTCTCAAGTCAGAGACTCCGCAGAACAGCATCCTAGTAGCCATGCCAACGAGGGTGCCACTTGCATCTCTTCTTTCAAGAAGATGCATCTGCTCGCGGGCGACTTGCTTCCAGCAGTTTGCTGAAGCAGCTTCGGACGTGCAACGGGAACGGGAACGGTTTCTTGCACTGGACGCAGCCCGCAAGGACTTGTTGGTCGGGCAAAAAACACTGAACTCTTCGACTGATCACAGATGGGGAGACTTCTAGCACCATTAGACTAGAAATTTCTTTAGTTGAATCAACAAAGTAAGATCATCGGGCCTAGGATTTCAACATCCTCTGGTTCTTCAACCCCAGATCGGTTCTTATGTCCCTGAAAGGAGGCTTTGCTGAATGAGTGGTACCATGCAAATAGTGAACACTCCAAAGACTTTGAACTTGGAGCAGGTCAACTTTCAAGAGCTGAAGATGTTCTGCTTCAAACTGATTCTGATAGAGATGACAACGAAGTGATGATCCAAAGTGACTCGGAACCAGGAGACACTGGGGCCATCATCCCTGCGAGCGACAATGATGATGATGGTGAAATCTTACTAGCAACGAGTTCTGAAGAAGATGGCTGTGTGGAACCGCCAGTCAAGAAACGGGCCTATTCAAAAGGTCGTACTGAAGGTGACAAATTGCATTTTCTTCAACAGCCTGTGTGCAGGTTTGCTCACATGAGACTGTATTCAATCGGATCTTCAGCTCTGCAGAACATGCGGAGAGGGGACCCGGCTTTCACCATGCACTCAGGGCGGCTCCAAGAGCCCAAGCATCCATCCCTAGGAGTGTCGATGGTAAGGTCGTCAGTGAACCAGAGGTGGCCCTCCATCATGTCGTTCTTTTGGCTGCTTTGGATCAGCTGTGCTGAAGTCCTACCGGTTAAATTCACCATGCCGGGTAATCGTGATGGAGGTTTCTATGAGTCCACGATGTCGGCTGACCCGGAATTCCAGGAACGCTATGTACAGAATTTCTTGGGTTGTCTCGAGCGGAACTATGACGTGAACCCTGTCACTCATCATCCTTGTAGCAGAACATTTTTATTGTGAAGTGGGATGGAAATAGGAATTATCCCCTGGAATAATTGTTGTGTTCCAAAGAGTGTGTTGATTGTCTTTTGGGGGCAACCACAACATAAGTTGCGACCCTCAGGTGAACCATGGTGGACCGGGTACTTTTGCAGGACCAAGACGCTACTTGGAATGGCAAAAGCCAATGGATCTGTTTATTCAATACCAAGCCTACTGCGAAGCTGCTGGTTTAGCTACTGCTGCATTCACTACCTTCCGGAGGGTGATGAAGTCAATTTTTGCTTCTCATCTTCGTTTCAGGGACAAAGGGGACTTTGGTCAATGTGATGTTTGCCACAAACTACGAAAACGCATCAGAAGTGCCACAACCAAGCAGTTGAAGGCTATCAACATTCGATTGTATAGCCAACATTTGCTACAGCAATGGTCCGATAGACAATTCTACTGGAACCACAGAACCTTGAGTCGCAACTACTTTTCGCAAGGACTGCACTTTAGCAAGAGATTTGCAGGTTCTGACTTGGCATCATCAGTGATCACAGTGATCCAGGATGGAATGGATCAAGCAAAACTGAGGATTCCTAAGTGGGGCTATGCGAAGCTGAGCAAGGCAGCCACCAAGTTGTACAGGCCAGCAACACATTTGCTGGCCTCGTGGTTGCATGGTTTTCGGCTCTTCCTCTACTTGAGCGATGAGGACTTGAAAAAGAATTCCGAGACACAACTTGAGACCCTGTCCCTTTCCCTCCAAGACCTGTTTGGCCATTGTTCTTCGATGGCTTTGTCGCTGCATTTGCAGCAAGACAATTGCGCTAGAGAGGGAAAGAATCGCTTTGTCATGTGCTTCATGCTACTCATCCAAATCCTGGGGGTGTGTAGATTCACATCCTTGGGATATTTGAGGACGGCTCATTCCCATGACGACGTCGACCAAGTTTTTGGTCAAATTGCTAGACTTTTGATGGGAAAAAGATGTCAATCCGCATCAGAAATGATTGCCTTGCTGGAGGATTGCATTCAACAGGGCCATCAATCAGAAAAATCGGGACGGCTTCGTGGTTCCGTCGCTGTTGCAAACAAACTTGATCAGGTATCTTGCTGGAAGAAATTTGTGAACCAAGTTGGGGTGTCATTCAAAGGTCTCCGACATGTTCACTACATGAGGTTTTGTGCTCGCAAAGACTTGGGGGCTGATGTTTTGGACAATGTACATCATTTGGAAGAGTACGGGCCTCGCTGGACACCTCATGATGAAGATGTTTTCCTGGTCACAAAGCGCTGGCTGTCGGACAGCGAGATTCAGCGCGCGATGGTGGTGGTGCCAGCTTCAGTGGCTAAACAAATCAGGCAGGGATATCAACCTCCTGGTGGTTTGGCATCTAAGCGTGCCATTGGGGAGCAAGTTCAAAAAGTTCTTCAAAAACGGGTTCCTATTTGCCAAAGAACTGGCGAAGTTACAACTGAAGGAGCACACTATTTGCTCGGATGGTGCCAAGGCACATTGCCTCAGAAACCAAAACCTGACGTCTACAACTTCTTGAGTTACAGGTGGTCACCCGATATGCGCCGGGAAAGCCATGAACCGGGGAAGTGGCAACCACCACGCCGGGTGAAACACTTTGATATCAGCTTGAGAGGTGATAACAATCTTGGCAGCGACAGCTCGTCGGATGATGAGCCAATAGCCCTACCTATTGGCTTCGAAGATTGAAGGCACAGCTTGCAACCGCTGAGAAAAGGCGCTCCACAGTCTGTTAGCTTTTCAAATCCCAACATTCTCATGAGCGTAGCGCCGGCAGAAAGAATTGTTCCAAACTACACACCAACAAATCTTTCCAAAGAATCTGGGGGATGTTGGTGGTTTTGAGATGTGTGTTTTGAAACAATGCATTAAGTGGTTCGCAAATAAATCACCCAGCTTGTGCAAATCCCCAGTGGCTAATGAAATTGCAACCTCACCAGGTCCTTTCACCAGCTCTCCTGCCAGGACACAAAAGAAAGCCGCAGAATCACAGGAAGAAGAAATTCTGTTTTCTACTGATGCTGAAGGCTCGGTTGGGTTGAGAATCCGTTCGCATGGAGGCGTTGTTCACTTAGCTAGGGATGAATGTAAAATGCATCAGGCCTAGTCAACCAGTAGATAGATCTCTAGGGCTGTCCTGGATATTCAATTCCCTACGATTCTCCTCACGTCAGGATCTTCCCATGATTTCCATCCGCTCTCACAAGGCCCTTCTTCAGATGTGGTGCAGGAGCCGGAAGAGGACCACGCCATGCTCTATGCCTCAGATGATGATGCTGCGCAGCATGATTTTGTTCCGCATGGGCGTTTGCCTCCCATTCAAGGGGAACCCTCTGTAACTTGGACAAAGTGAGGACCATTCACCATTTGCTTTTCTTCAGGTCCAGTTTCCAGAGAAACAAATCATTCAAAGTCAATTGGGACTACTCAGAATTGAGTATTGTCTGATGATGAAGGTGTCAAAAATTCTTTGGAATGGTTGTTTGACTTATACGAAGGAAACGGGATGCGGTGGCTTTGCATTTGGTGTATATTACTAACTGGGTCTTTGGACTCATAACCCTTCAGTTTTGGGGGAACCTGTCCACAATCAATCCTTGGCTCATTCTGCTTTCTTAGGTAGAAGCCTTCGTGAACGACTTCGTGCACAACCCGGCGTTCTCTCAGCTTCGGGGAAAGCTAGCGGCTACCCTGGGAGGAATTGATAGCATCGCTGTGGGCAGCATGTTTTCGGGGTGGGCCGTTTTGGAAATGGTTTTGGATGTTCTGAAGAGCTCATGGAACTCATCAACATCCACAGCCCCTGATGCCTTGCTAGAGGCCTTTGGGTGAGATTATGGGTCTTCGCGGTGGGAAACACTGTGTATCAATTCCTGTTGGACTGATTTCTCAATAGGTTGATTCAGCAATCACGGCTATCGTCCTACAACATATCTTGCTTCTTGGAAACCTTCGATTCAAAATTGCTTTAGACTGTTTTATGTTGTTTGCTCAGTGAAGAATATCTTGCAAATTCCAGAGCAGTGAGGGCTTTAGACTTTGCTGTTCTACCAGGACACCACACACACTTTTCACATAACAGAAATTCCACCATCAACTAAAGATTCCCCTTTCAACATCATCATGGTCAGACCCATCATCCAGCATCTTTCGTGGTCCAACCGGCCCATTGCAGGTGCAGCTACGTTTCATGGCTGAGATTGACAAGGGCAAGCAACGATACTTGTCGAAGAATTTTCCTGGCGTCCCCATTTTTGAAGATGTGTGGGAGATGAGGAAAACCCATGCTCGTACATCTGCTGGTGGGGCATGCAAAGTACCCAAGGCTATGGTTTCGGGGAAACAGAAGTTCAAGTCATTTGAAGTTCTGGGGGAACGGGTAATAGGTTTTTTGCACTCCCTGTCAGTGTCTTCTCCCTGGAGGTGGACCTTCTGGTGGGAGGCTTTCCTTGTGTGAGCTTGTCTACGTTGACGACCACTCCAGGCAGTGTCACCGACCCTGAGTGTTCCTCTGGCAGGGGGTACATTGGGATGGAGGAGTATGTGAAACATCACAGGCCACGAATGCTTCTCCTTGAGAATGTGGCAACCATGTTCTCCAAGCGGCAGGTCGAAGGTAATGAGTCCCCGCAATTTTGCCAAATTTAGGATCCTCATGTGATTGATTCTCACCTGTGAGTTGGTGGTTTTGCCTAGCCATCCCAATCCTGTCAAAGCGTCTCGCAATCTTTGTCCTTGTTTATATGTGTTTACCCTCACTTACCTTGGCAATCCTTGACTTGATGTTCTCATGCACCTTTTGAATCTTTTGGGGGCCTGATGCCACTAGTTAGTTTGTACGCACTTCAAAAGAATGACTGAACAAAATCCTTCCTTGAAACGTCTGAGGTACGAGATCATCAAGGCTCGCCTGGAGGGCCTTGGGTACCATGTGGTTGGAGGGCTGTTTAACACAGCTGACTATGGTTTGCCGCAGCAAAGGAACCGCGCCTGGTTGCTTTGCCATTTGCGCTCTGAAGTGCAAAGCACACCAGCGCAGATTACCTCGGATGTGTGGGCTTTTCGGCGATGTTATGTGAATCTCCGTTCTTGTGTGGACTTGGCCCGGGGGCATGTTGAAACCAAAGCCAAGAAGAAGGACACCAAAGACTGCGACCCCAAGTGGGCAGCTGGTTTCGCAGAACAATGTGATATCTTTGGGAAGGCCAGGGGATATCAAATCTTTGTTTCATGTGAGATGGGATCACTTTGAGCTTTTTTTGCCCTATCGAAGTAGGCAATTCAATTTTCGTTTAAGCAACGCTGCATCCAAGCCTTCGAGGCAAAATGGTCACCCTGACGACTCAAAGACTCAGTCAACCCTGACTTGGTATTGAAACCTTGCTACCCCCACTCCGCTGTTGCAGGCAAAGCTTCAGAAATTGGTCAGGGACCTGAAGCCTCGGGCCAAAGGGTGCAGCGACAGGGAGGTTAGAATTCTAGCTGTGGCTGTTGAGAATCTCCGGGCGAATCATGGCTTTGATGCTTTGGGCCAATTGGCCATCATCCAGGTGGAATCTTGGAAAGACAGTGGGAGGTTTCTGTCTGGCGCTAGCTAACTCTGTCTCATCCATTCAACTCAATCTTTCCAATGTTGGATATCGCTGGGTTTGAAGGTTCTTAGTCTAAACAGCCAATCCTTATTATAACCAATTGATTGAGAAAGAATATCAATAGGGCCAACCACAGTCTTTCCCCAGCAGCGCTTATCAGGACCAGAACTTCACCCGGGCGACTTTTCCCAAGTCGGACTTCTACACAACCTGTTGCGTCATCCCTGGTGGCAAATACGTGGCAACTGGGCCGGCAGGGTTTCGACTCCTTTGTGCGAAGGAGCTTGGTTTTCACATGGCTTGTGGATAGTAACAAACAATTATTTTGAATTCCCACGGTTGAAGAATGGGTCATGGGTCGCTAAACGCCTGGCCTTTAATGTTCACTGGTCAAAGGGCCCATGGCAAGGTATCTGATTTTCAAGATCAACGGCAGGCTTAGTCAGGAGGATTTGCATTTGACTATTTAAATTAAAACAAAAACAATGTCAGGCCATGTTGGTTTGGTGACTTCAAATATGGTCACTTCAATTCTTCACATCCGACGGACTGCGCCAAGCCCACCTTCAAAAGCCACTGTTCAGTCCAGGAGATGGCGCGCCTGCAGGGTGTTGGTGCGCCCGAGTGGACCAAGTATGCGATGGGAGATGAATCCGAGCATGCCATGAAGAACTTCATTGGAAATGCGTTTCTTCGTCGTGTTTTCAGCCTGGGTGTGTCCTTCCCATGGTTGCCTTTCATTCCAAACTAGGAGGATCAACATGTATAGGGTGTTCAATCTCACCCCAAACTCCAATCATGTTGAGTTGGAAGAACTAACTAGTTGCCATGACTCCCACAGCCTAAGAGACTTCCCGGTCGCTGACTCCAGATAACCCTCTCAGGTTCAGCGTCCCAGTGCACCTTGCAGCATTGGTCTCGATCTTGTGCAACTGGAAGCCACATCCTTGAGAAGTTGGGCATGGAGAGGTCGCGAGGTGATTCCAATACCTTTTCCTCGGTGTTGGCACCGGACCTTCTAGTTGCTTTTTGATCTTGATTTGACTAATTCTTCAAAGATGGTGGATACCCATCATCATGCCAATAAGTTGCATGAACAAAACACTGCGTTGAAAAGACGAATGTTTCTGATCTCGACGAAGTCGGTGTTGGTTTCAGGAATGACGAGTGAATTGAATTGAACTCACTCATTTTCCAGTGCACCATGTGACCATGGCAACCACTTGGGGGCTGAAGCGCAAAGAATTGCGACTGACTCATAGCATCGTGGGAAGATGCTATAGGATCAAACACTTGAAGAAGTTCAAACTGAACCAGGTTGATTTCGGCATGTTTTGTCGATTTTGCAATCTTCAGGCACAATTGATTCCCAGTCAGCTTCAGGGTAGGATCCAACGAGCCATGCCGCCCAAAAAGCGTGCTAAGACCGCCCACAATGCTAAGGTGACCCAGCCCCAAAATGTCGCTGATGTTGCTGCAGGGAGGCTCCAATTGAGAGATTGGATCACTTTGGTCCACCAGGGTCGTCATGGCTTTCCTGAGAAGCGGAAGTTTCCATTGGCAGATGGCGGTTCCTTTTTGGACGTTGTCCAACGATGTTTTGGTGACGAGGATGTCATGATTGAAGACTCTCTAGAGTTGGTGAAGAAACTGGGTATCATGGATAGCTCCAGCACTGTAGAGGACTTCAGCAACAAGTATCTCACCATGCAGGAGTGGGTGATCCAACCTTCAATGATCAATTGTTTGATAGGTTACTAATACTGCTGGGTGGCATTACTCATGCAAGGGCCTATTACACTGACTTATGAATATTGTTGCCCGGACAAACTTCTAGCGTTTCCCATCGTTTCCCGCAAAATCCTACGAGCCCAAAGCCCCTTGAGAAGAAACTTGAGTCTCCCGACTCTGCCAGGACTGGCCACCGACGCCCGGCTCCTTTTTAAAGACCTCGATTTTGCAGTGGAGCTTCACCGGGACAAGCTTCTGGCGGATTCCAGACATGAACACCGTCATGGACATTGCCAAGAGCATCGCCTTGGTGGGCTGGAGAGATGAATCGCGGATGGATGGACTTTGGGCTTAGCTACCAGGGCTTTCCCCCAAATGAATTGGAAAGGCCCCCCCTCCAAAAAGTCACAAATGAAAGGATTTTGAAGGTAACTTGAGGGGCAGCTCGCCGCTTTGGAGGTCTGATTGGAGACCCTTGGGTGGAGAGCTCTTCCAGGAAGAGCTCGCCGCCCAGATACTCAACTCTCCCGGATTAAAAATGTCTGAATGTAGGGTTGAAGGGCCTGGGGTTGAACTTAGACTAAAAAGTAATGATTCCCAGATTTGGAGGTATATGATCCGGGGGGTGGAGGACCTCTGGGTGGAGAGCTCTTCCAGGAAGAGCTCGCCGCCCCAAGACAAAAATTTCAAACTCAAAGTGGAGAGGTGGAGAGCTCTTCCAGGAAGAGCTCGCCGCCCAGAGAAACCTATCAGCTCGCCGCCCCCTCCCAAATCTGAATAGCTCGCCGCCCCTTCTCCCCCCTCATATTCAGTTTTTGGTTCTGGGATCAACTTCTTTGAAATTCTCATGCTAGGTGCTTCAACTCTTCTGCCAATCTTAGTTGAGCCCAAAAGAATAATCCACACATAGTCCTTGGGGGATGTGTCGGGTGTCCTGACAAGATCTGACAAGTTTCAAATTGACATCCTTCAGGGCGAGATCATCGGCATGCGCATTGTACCTGGGGGCGCCGAGCACAAGATGCAGTATGTCCAGGGCGCGCTTTACTTTGATGATGGTGGCATGAGGGGGTTAGCTTGCGCTTTGGTGTGGTGCGCTTTGATCCATCATGGTTCAACTCTGAAGGATGAGGATTTCATCAACCCTTCAGTGGCTGAGTTGGCCCGAAGCCTCCTTGCAATTCCCACCTTCTACAAGAACCAGTCCCAAGACGAAGGCATTGAGATGATTCGCAGGATCATCAAGCAGAATGTGGATGCCAAGAAGCAGGCTGTCTCCTCCTACGAGTGGAGTATGATCTTGAAAAACCTGGGGGCTCTCAACAACACCCTCAGCAAGGACCTGACGGTCCAAGATGCGATGGACTTGTACAACGCCAATCCAGAGGTTGCAGCGCATGGCGGCACTGGAAAGGACAGGTGTATTCGCTGGGCATCAAACCTGAATCAAGATTTCTAAGTCTACTAAGTGTCGTGTATTGACTGTTGTTAGTACGAGGGAGTTGGAAATCAAGATGAGCCGAGTGAGCCTTTGCAATGACATGGTCGTTAACCCTATTTCTCCTAGGATACCTCTGATGAAGGCATGGCCCCTTTTCATCTCTCCTGGTCATCCCCCAAATCAGACTCTGTCCGTCCAAAGCACCAGGAGAAGACTGGAAGTGGAAGTTTGGTGTTGGATGGCAAGAAACAATATGCCATCAAGCACTGGTTTGAGCTGACATCCAAGGAGGCGCACGAGCAGGTTGGAATATCTCTCCGTGATTCCGCTTTCCAATATGGACCTTTCGGGGAGCAGCTTAGCATGTACAAGTTTCTCTTTCTGGAGTCAACCCAGAACCTGACTGCTATGACCATATGTGACATGCAACCGGTGTCGAATGAGCCGACCATCACCATCAATTGGCAGCTACCACTGGATGGCCCCACCCAGGGACTCCTATTCAAGAGAATCAGGATTGCCTTTGAGAGAGCGACTGCAATCATTGATCAACCCAGTGACCGGAAACGATACCGAATGTCTGAAGAGGATTTGCTGAATCTCAGAAACCTCATCTGTGTTTGGCAGCAAATCAAATCATTCTGCAGTACCAGGGTGAAGCATTTTGATGAACTCGAGGCTGCCATCAGCAATGGCAATGGTCGGGATCATGAGCTCCAAGCTGTGTTGGACGCTCGACCACAGCAATTTGCTGTCAGCATGTTGTCCTCGGCTGCAAAGGAAGCTCAGGAAGCCCAGGAAACTTCGGTTTGCATGGAGGTGGAGAAAGAGAGGGTCGCTGTGCGGGACGCTCGCTGGGTCTACTTCCAGCAAGCTCTTCGCCGAGACCAAGAGAAGCTGCGCTTGGCCAAAGATGCACCATCCAAGTTGGAGTCCCTGAAACATAGAAAACAAATTCTTTGGCGTTTGGAACAGGCGAAGGTGGGTGAGAAGGTCATCAAAAGCTATCGGGACAAGTACCTACGCACTGACTTGGTGAGCAAGCCAGAGCTCGCTCAGCAGAAGGTCAACGAGTACCGCTCCTTTGTTGTATCTCGGTGGATTCTTATTTTTTGAATGGTTTTCTCAAACCAAGATATGGAATCTGACAATGCCCATGATTATGATTTCAATCTTTTGTCGGGATGATGGTTTCTGGATGAACAGAAACTGGGTCAGGGTAGAATCAACTTTTGGGACTGTTACAACAAACGTCTGCAGCTCCTATATTTCTCGGGGAAACAATGCCCAATGAATTGAAATTGAACTGGTGATGATCCCAATCAACTACAGTACCTGACCTCTCCATGTCTTAGCGGCACTTACTAAGGCACAATGCGCTGGGGTCAAAGCTGACCAGGAGCTCTACTGCATTGTGGTGGTGGATCTGAATGTGCCCGGTGCAAAGAGCAGCGAAACTCTCCAAGATCTTTGCTCAACTCTGCAGTTTGCGAATGATCTCGCGCCGAGCAGAAGTTGCGCGTTGCTTGAGCTTCCTGAGATCCCCAAGAAAACCTCGAAGCGAGGACTCGCGGACGAGGAGAATGAGATCCAGAGTTGCCTTTGGTCTTTGAGGCAGTCATGCGATGCCAGGTGGATATGTCCCTTTTCTATCCATCCTGCGGCTGACGCGCAGACCAACCGCAGGCATGGTTTGAGAATCAGTATAAATCCAAAGGGTAAGAAGTAAGAACACCAAACAAGGTAATCGGTCATGATAATGGTGAGGCCAAACCAGAATATTGCAATCAACATGGAACTTGGCAGCTCTAGGTACCAACCCCCAAAGCCTTAACAGGAACTCGAGTCAATACCCATGAACATCAGAACGCAATTCAGATTTGTCCCTACCCACAGGCGCTTCAACTCTGGCCGATTGGTGTGCAACATCGACAGCTCTTCGGAGAACATCTTTCTGACAGCCTCTGAACTTGGCACTTGTGGACGCCCTTTGCAGGCTGAGACTGACCTCACCTTGCCACTCAGCAAAGAGATGATTCTTCCGGAGAGCTTGGAAGCGGATTCAGACCTCAAACAAGCAGAGCGCCAACGGCCAAGCAACGAGGCTTGCCAAGCCCAGAAGGGCACTAAGAGATGGTGCGCTTTGCTATCTTCGCTTCTGACAATGTCGGGGGACATCATGAAGAACAAGCCATGCATTGTTCTGAATCTGACTGGCTACATCGAAGATGTTGGCTGTGCTGTTTCTTGGCTTCAGGGTATTTTGCGGGAGCTTGATAAACAGTTAGTCCAAACCCGAACAATACCTGACCTGCTTAAGGTTGCCCCATCATTGCTGTAGTTTTGGGCTCCAGGCTACTACCAGTAGCCATCATGGTGTTGGCAGGGCCCGAGCATTTCTTTAAACATGGGAAGTGCATAATGCCATGGCACGATGAACCAGATTCTGAACCTGAATCTTCTCCAGTATCATCAAAGCGCACCATTGCTTCTGGTTGCACCTTTCAACCAGACCATCCGGCTCTGTATGAACAATCGCCGCATTCGCCGATGCCAGCAGACTGGCAAGTTGAACCAACTAAAGCTGGAGTCACAATACGGGTTCAGCAACCAACGATTACTGTTGGTCACATTCTTCGCCACTGCAAGGACCGCGGTTTTCCAAAAAGGATGGCTTTTTTGTTTTGTTGGAATGATTTGTTCAAATTCTCGAGGTCCACCCTTCCTGTAGGAACCAATCATGGACCATATGGTGATTATTTGCTTAACTGTTGGGACCCTCAACGCATTGATAAACAGGACCAGATTCATCTTGCTCGACAAAGACATGGGGGGGACCAACTGGCAGTGTTCAAGATCGGCATCACCTCGTGCTTGGAAGTTCGGGTACAGTACTATTATGAAGCTAACTTCAACGAGATGTGTTGCATCCATGCCACCAATTCACTTGCACAAATTGAGACCCTTGAAGCCTGCTTGATAGACTTCTATTTAGAATCCTCTCACTCTAGTCCATGTCGCAATATTGCGAAAGGTGGAGAAGGGATGAGAACGAAGAAGGGTTTTCCTAGAAACCCACCACCTTACTTTCTTTATGTAGTTGCAGCAAACGCTGCGCAAATTAAGCGCATAGGAGGTTGAAGACAACGATGCACAAAGCTCTTTCCAATCCTTTGCATGTAGCTAGTCAGATGCTTGCGTCCATGTTCCTGGAAAAAGTGCTCATTCTATTATCAAATGCCAGGGGTAGAAGATTTTGGTGTATACTTGAGAACTCTAGATTTCAATGATAGCGTTCAGACCTAGAAGTTGGGATCATCCAAAAGACATTGTTTTGAATAGGACCTGAAACACATCTGGTCATCACATCTTCCCCAATGAGGTTTTCGAGATGCGATTGGCCAATCAAGAGTTCAAGGGTGGCTTCCGCACTGAGAACCTCTACTACCAGTCAGTGCAATGGATCATGAAAGATGAATTCGGCCATGCCAGGCTGACGCGTGAGATCACCGACGCTTGGACAGCCAGGCGATTCGAGCATGGGGGCCACCGCTTCAATGTGGAGGCTCCGGAGCTTTCTCAAGAGGAGATCGATAGCATCCCCGGAGCCCGGGCTTCTTTGGGCAATCTGGATTCTTTCAAGTTTGAGATTCTGGAGAGAATTGGTGATCGCATGATGATCAAGGGGGACGAACATAAGTACCTTGGATCAAATCAACCATTTCAACACAGGTTTTGTATCTTCGCCCTACCCTTTCAAGTAGCCAGCTTTGTAGCTTTCAGCACAGTTAGCACAGTTGAAGAATGTCGTCAATGGATCATTATATAATGAATTATCGAATTTAGGATTGGAATGCATTCAATTCTCTGCACCCTGTTTAGTTCACTATGATCCTTGATTCCCACCTTGGGGTCAGGTTCTGGAGCTCCCAGACTGGTAACATCTTGACTGAGTATGAGACCCTTCGACAGGAGCACGTGGCTCTGGTTGGGCAGTCTTCCACGGCCGTTGTGGCATCGGCTACAACCGCTGAAGAAGCTGACAATGCTTCCACTGATGGTCCCACCGATAGTCCAGCCGCTTTGGAACTGGATTCCTGCGCCGCCCTTGAATCCCAGCACGGCATCGAACTTCGCTGTGCCAGTGAGTGTGCTCAAGTTGAACTTGTCTTGGCCAAGGACAAGTCTGTGTGGTTGCTGCCCAGTCAAAACAAAACCATTGCCAAACACTGCGTGATTGGGGGATTCGGAACTGGCCAATGGCTTCCAGAGGCAGAATGTTCAGAACCTGGTATTCCCTTTGCTTGCCCCCATGGTGACCGAACCCTTTTTCAGCTTGATGAGGCTTCTTTCGCAGCAGAGGCGCAGGGCTTCCAGACCATGACCCTCTACAAGTTGCTGCTGCGTGCTGAACGGGAGAAGAACCTTACCGAACATCGGCTGTCGTTCATGGATATCAAGAGGAAGCCAACCGTTGAGGCTGGGGAGGATGGCTTTGAGGTGACTATCAAGGCCGCGATGACTTTTCGGTGCTTGAGAGATCCCCGATCCTTTGCTGAAGACAAAACAGAAAGGATCACGGCCAAGAATTTTTTTGCCAAGTGTGTGGGGCCCACATTGCCCAAAGAGATGGCTCAACCAGTTTGCCGATACAGATTTGAACGTGTCGGGCAAAACTTCAAGGTGCAGCGTCCCTACATGATCACAACGCGTGGACTGACCCTGCACAAGGATAAGCCTCTGAAGTTGACTTAGTGAGGTGGGGACTAGCTGCAAACCATGGTGATTCTCTTGGCATTGATAGTCTCCATGAGTTGCCAAAAGTTTGCACTCTTTCCACTTATCTCAACAGTGCTCAGTCAGTCCAGCTTTTGCTTCTCAGCAGCTAGCCCTACGCCCAGTGAATCGATTTTGAATGATGGCTTGCGGGAAATCCGTAGGTCAAACAAACTGGGGAACACCGTGGATCCTTAGAGTCTGCGTGGCACCTGAACATGTTTCGAGAAGAGTTCAACACCACCTGCAGGATATTGTGGATTTTTGGTAACATCAACATCATCATCTCTCACCAGCTCAACAAAAAGTGTTATTACATCGGTTAGCTATCAAATTCTATCAACTTTGGGATTGAAAACTCTAAGTGTTCAATCTACTTTGAAGTCATTCGGTCGCTCGCAGACACGGTAACCGCGGTGAGATGTCAAAGGCAAAAGGCCTTCTTTGCTAGCCTGCCGCCGCCCTACATTTGACTGAGTTGGAATCAGTCTCATCGATCTCTGGCAGGATCTCGCAGAGTGAGGAAAACCAGAATCAGCAAGCTTTGAATGGAGTTTTGTCACTCATCCAGGCTCCTTTCATGATTCTTAGGACTTTCTGGATTGATTTTACTCTGGTTGAGATATGCCTACTTTGACGGGGAAAGCAACATGAGTCTGAGTGCGCCCAACTGATTTCATTGTTTCTGCAGCTTTTGGGCGGCCTCAACTCTTTTTTTTGAGATCCATTCCAGCTTTCCTCATGGTGCCGGCAGCTGGAGTCACGTATGCGGATGTGCACGCTCTATGGAAGGGCTGTTTGCTCATGTATGGCATGCAAGGCCTGGGTGAGCGTACCAACTTTCAACACGAGAACTTGCGGGAAACCCTGATGAAGCTCACTGTCATTTGGGCTGACAATACTCAAAACCTACGAGTTGTGCAGGAAGTTGTCCAAGTCCTGACAATCATACTGAGTATGACTTTCAAGTGCTCCATGGATGGTGAGCAGGACATCGACTCCAAAGCCTTCCAACTGAGCGCCTGGGTCGAAGTCGGTGAATCTCAACCTGAGCAACCTCTACTACCGCCGGCGCCGATGAGGACGAAGCTTCTGAAAGTTGTCAAAGACCGGCAGATCAAAAGCATTGTGGAAAATGAAATCCAGTTGGCTCTACAGTGTTGCGAAGACTTGGTTGGGCAAGCTAGGGTGGTGGCGCCGGAACTCATGAAAAAGTTTGTGGCAGTGAGTGCTTTGATGGATGATGCCCAAAGGGTACTTAGTACTATGTAGGGACCAAGTGCAAAAATCTTGGATCCATTTGTGCCCAGCTCCTGACAAGAGGGATGCCAGGAGCAAAAACCATGAGCATTCTGTAGTTAGTTTGTGGGGTGATACAAAGACCGCGGAGCTGAACAAATCCACCTGCACTGCTTACTGCAGCACTAACTATACTGTAATCTTTGTCTAGCAAGCTGATTCAAACAGTGTATATAATTGTAACTGTAGTGAAAGGAGGACTTTCAGTTCAAGCAAGATTTTATCAAAAGACGTGTCATCCACTCAGTGGCAAGTGCTTGAACTCTCCATATCGTTTCTCGTGTCACTTCATTTATCAGGATCAAATTCTTATAGGTGCCGCCTCACTGCTACCATGTCGCATGGTGGCATTGACATTGCCAACCGGATCTTGCAGAGTTTTGACCGAGCTAATCATGCACTGCCTGCTGCTCTGCGAAGATCTTCGACTACAAGCCCTCATACGACTAGCGCCGAGAGCAGACCACCAGTAATGCTAGAAACACCACCAGAGGCACTCAGGGAGGAGGACCCAAAGCCTCAACGAGGAAGGGGAAGGGGACGCGGAAGGGGAAGAACAGCACCCACAGTCCCGAGCAGCCCCTCAGATCCCTGTTTATTATCTTTTGACCTAAGGTTGAGGCGCTAGTCTTAGCTTTTGTACTCTTTGATCCACCTCCCTCCAACCAAGTTTGAATGTATCAGTGGATGAAGCCTCAACTAACTTATTTTATTTCCAATATAGTTGGACCCCTATCCCTGCTATGAGGGGCTTCCCACTAAGGTTCGCAAGGTTCGCCTTTCAAACGTCCAGCATCCTTCCAACCTGAGCCTTTCAAGCGGCCTTCAGCGGCATCAGCTTCAAGACCTTTCAAGCGCCCAGCTGCAGCACCCGAGGCGACAAAAACACCTGAGGCGCCTGAGCTGAAAACACCTGATGCAAAATTGCCTTTCTCAAGTCCTAAAAGAGACTTGGTAGACCCTGAGAGTGCACCGGCAGCTGCAAAAGAACCCAATGCCACTCAATTGGATGAGGAGGCAGAAGAGGAAACCAAAGAACATGATCCAGTTGTGAGAGTTGACCCACGTGAAGCAAAAGAGAAAGCAGCTGTGAAAGGTAAGAATGGCAAGAAGGTTGATTCCCGGCAGCTGAAAAAGAAGCCAGCAAATAGGGTCTCAAAGAGTCCCAAGAAAAGCACCAAAAAAGAACGGGGTGTGGTGGTCCAAGAGATCATCAAAGAACATGGTTGGAAAGTCCAGCAATTCCGTACGCCCAAAGGGCGACTGTATTGGAAGTGGATCCATCCTGATGGATCTTATGTTTTTTCGAAAGTGCAAGCTGAAGCGCTTGGCTTCACAGGATGATTAGGGAAACAAACTCAATGGCACCTGCGAGAAACAAACGATGTCGCTGGGTTGTGCTGGGATAGGGTTGGAAACAAACGAAGAACCAAACCCTGAAAACACTAACTTTTTTGGAATCGTCTTATATATATATATGCTTCAATTCAATCAATAGACCAGCATACTAAACATGTGCATCCCGTGGACCTTGGAGGATGTGGTGCAGGGCCAGGCCTCGCTCGCTTTCGGTCAGTCAGGGTGAGGGTCACAGGTCTGTGTATCGAGTCACCGAACTGGGTGACCCCTACTTCACACCCCACTTAAAACATAGTAATTGTAAGTAATAATTCTACCTTAAAACCATTTAATTGACTACCAGGACCCTCCAACAGGTCACCACCTGCGACTTTGAAGTCAGCAAGGTCGCCTCCATGTCGGAGACCTGTAGAGTCGGGTGCTGGTATTGGTTTTGTGTGTAGCTCCAGTCTTGAGCAGCCCTTGGACCGAACACATCACATCACCCCCCTGCGCGAAGCGCGAGTTCGTGCCGGCATCATGCCGGCTCCCGGGACCCCGCGGGGACCGGGGACTGGGTGGGCCAGAAGAGAATGGCTGGGTTTTGGCCGGTGTAACATGCGTATAGCTCATTTGTAAAGCAATGGTGGTTCGGGATGACCCGCCAAGTAACACTAGGTGGTTGGAATGCTATAGTTTATGTTTCACAGGCGAGCCAGGTCCGACGTGAAAGCCGCGATTGCCGCGATCACCGGACTCCGTGATGTTTGGCCCAGAAAACGGAGTGAGAGAGTTCACCTAGATTTCTCCGGCTCCCCACAGATATATAGTGCACATGTTTTGGGCCAAACTCAATGACGTACATCCTATAGATGTATTGTTTAAAGGCTTCCTCTCCACAGTGGAGAGGCAGCCTGGCTGTTTGAGCCTGTAGCTCTTTCGGCGGTCTCCACCCTGGACCCTGGACCCGGATCCGGGGCTTTCCAACCGGTGCGCCTTCGTCCATCAGCGTCGCTCCCCCGAGGTTCGTCGGGATGGCTCCGGACAAGGTTTGGTCCACCGAGACGGACCACGCGCGGCTCGGAGAGGGGCAGTGATGGACTTGGACTCGGATGGTGGACTTGGGACACCCCCCAAGATGGAGGGCCCCTTCTCAAAAGACATCTTATAAAACCATCGGTGGTGACACCATGCCATCTATGAAACCACGACGGGCAGCCTGGCACTGACACCTTCCGTCGGATGGGTCAGGGGGTCCACTTGGACGTCAGGGCCCGTCGGGGGGTCCATCTGAAACCACTGTCTATGTCTTGGGGATGAAAAACGGGGTGTCAGGGCCGGAATACACAGTGATTTTTTGTCCCGTTGATTTGAGGGGATTGGAGCTGAGCTCTTGGATCTGTTCATCCGGACCCTAAGGATCCACATGCCCTTTGAGAAGGAATTCTGCTGGCGCCTACACAATAAGGTCTCCTTCCTCACCTTCTTAGGATAAAGATGCGAATTGATTTCAACTTGATTTCACAGAGGGTCAGTGGGGGGCCAGGAGCTGTTTTCTCCGCGAGCTGAGCTCACCCCCCCTCTTCACGTATGGTAAACAATGACTCGAGGTCGAGTTCTTTTTCATGCGGCATCAACATTAATTTATGGTATGGGAGCCGGTAGCCTTCATTTGGAAGCAAGTCAAAATCACCATGTTGAATCCCTTTGAATTAGATTTCCGCACCATTTTGGCGCCAACCGCCTGGGTGTTCGCTGCCGTCGATTTTCGCGGCCAGATGCTTCAAAACAGCCTGCAGACGAGCCTGAGGTATCCGGAGCCCGGCTACAACCTGTTCACTGTCCGAGATTTGCTCTTGCTTTGTGATCCCACTCCCGTGCGTTTCGAGGAGCAATACCTGGAGATGAGGGGTCCTATGCCCTTTGCTACTAGTACTCGTATCTTCTGGTTCCTAGTAGTAAGGCCAGGAGCTACTAGTAGCGATGTCCTTCGTTACGAACGTCGCGTCCTTTGTTCGTAGGTTTGTTAGTAGGAAGTCACTTGCTTCTGATAGCGAACTAGCGAACATGTTTCTCAAGCCGCAAGGCCTTTGCCGTTCACAGCAGGGTCATGTGGTGTTTACACATCTGATCGACTAGTCAGTAGAAAGGTTGGGAAATAGTATTGAGAACGGAATTGTCTGGACATGTCTCTGATGTTTGTACCTGTCAACTGTTATATTGTAATTTTATCAATTTAAGTTTTGAATCTTGAAGTTTTTATGTTCCTCAATCAACATGGGAAAGGACCTGCCGTCGAATGCTTCAGAGAAATGTTACGACAAGTGGATTGTTTCAGTGTGAGCAGATTAGCCTTTGAGGAGATCTCCAAGCTGGGGGCAGCCATTGAGGCCGAATGAGAGTGCTTGCATCTCCACTTTTGGTCGGAGAGGAAAAGACCCTGACCACATGAAGCCATGTAGACTTTGGATGACTTTGGAAGAACTAACATCAACCCCCCAATATGAATTCCTAGACCTGCGGTAGGCTGTTTGTTTTTGAGGCTACTTGATTTGTCAGTCTGAGACGGAATATCCTGACATGTTGATTCCTGAAAGAAAGTACTGGTTTGTGAGCAGACTTGGTAAAATCATGAAAAGCAGCTCTGCAACCCTGCTGGCACTCCCTCCTCCTTCGACCCCCATCCTTTTCATTGTCAGTCCTGGTTGGAGGGGTTCTCAGATGGCAGGGCTGCTTTTATTGAGGAACTTGTGTTCTCAAACCTTTGAGGTTTTTAGTACATGTTGCTAGGTGTGTCCAAACCCTCAGGAACGATAAGGTTCACATCTAAAAATATATGTTGGGAAGAGTGCGCACTACAACACACAAGAGATTTTGCACGTCGCTCATGTGACAAAGGTGAATGAGGAAACAAACAGATTGCCTTAGACCTGGCCGGGCCATGCCAAACAGGATCAAACTGAACACTTTCAAGCTTAAAAGGCTAGATTTGGAACACATGTCAATTCAAAAACAGATGTTCAACATTGTTCAACGTACTAACTCTCAGCTTTGTCCTTCTCTGCAGAAATAGAGACGTGCATCCTGATTTCTTCTACTTGAATCTGAAGTGGAAGAACTTTCTTCCACTGCTTTGGCACCCGCAAATAGTAGGCGCCTCATATTATGTGCGTCATATGTGCCTCAACAATCTCCGCAACCCCAATGTTGAACAGGTCCTTTGGACATCTATATATCCACGATTCCGATGGGAATTGTTCTTTACGGACCCTCAAAGGTGAAGGTTTTGAGGGTCCAAACCCCTGCTATGCAGGGTCAAAACCCTCCATAGCAGGGGCTAATGATCCTTAGGGTTCTGTATCAATATGTTTTTCGTTGCCACGCGGGTGTTTGATCCCAAACTGGTCTCACACTCAGCGAACGTCAAGGGACAGATGGGTGTTGGAGTCCAACAAGTTATTGAGCCATCTGTTCAAGCGGGCCTACAATTATCATACACATTTATCATATACACATTACAATACATTGCATGTACATCATATATTGATGTATTTATACTTTCTTCAATTGAATAATTATGTAACATAGGTTTATTTGTTTCCATCGGGGGGTCTTTATAAAGCGCCGCCCAAACGCTCCAAACAGGACAGGTCGAAACCGACAATATTGAGTCGAACGAGCCCCCGTTCAGTACGGACCGTCCGGGTCGCGTTCAAAGGGCGAGAATCGATGCGTTTTGGATGCAACGCCAAGCGAAAGCAGAAGAATAGCCGAGGAGACGGTTTTCAAGGACCGTTTTCAATGTTCACCCCTACTAGGGCGGAGGCCATGGCTCTTGGGTTTCTTTTCACACGCCCTGCAGGTCCAGTTCGTGTGGAACTGCCACATCAACAACGACAAGTGCAAACCTGAGGCGTCGACACAGGGGGTGTGGGTTCTTTGTGGCAAATCCGACTGCCAGCTATAAAAAGAACATCAAAGAACATACCTTGGGTTTGTCCTATTATCTGTAACAGTCAGTAAACAAGAACATCACTATTTTAGAAATTGGCCTGCAGCAACTGAATCATCATCATCCACTGCTACTGGTAGTGGGATATACCCATTACCAGTCCCATTACCCTCCCTCCAACAAACATGCAAGTGGACAACCCCTGTTGGTGGAAGAAGCTGGTCTTTCCAGTGGTCATGCTCCACTTGGAACGATTGTAGCTCGGGAGGGTAGTGAATTCACGGGGAGTCGTACCTCCACGGGGCCCCGGTCATGTTCGTACCTGTTCTTCTTTTGATGGGGTCATGTCCCTTGTTCCTTTGAGGGCCCAGGCATCATTTTAGCAGTTCAGTTTCCTTTTTGTTTGATCTCAAGGTGTCCTTTTCGGATCATGGAAGAGGTTCCCGACCATCAGACTCCCAGGAACAAGAACCCAAGATGGAAGTGAGTTTTGACTTTAGGGAGGATTTGCATCCAAGTGCATTCATGAGCAGCTTGATGATCCAAGTGACATCCCACCCCAATCTATCAGCACCTTGATGATGTGAGCTTTTCACAGCGTGTTCTTTTTTTGCAAAGCCTTGTTTGGTTCCATCGTTTCGCGCGAGTTCAGCCGTTTCGCTGCGGGTCGAGCTCGATGTGTTTTTTTTCCTCTTCGACCTGACCGTCGGACGCGACCAGGTCAAGGTGAGACGTTTGGACACTCTCTTCGATGAAGCCCAGTCGGGGTCCGAGGACCTCGCGGTCGCCCGGTCTACGTCGACCCTCGTCGTCGCGAAGAGAGATGTTTTGGTCCCATGGCCTCAGAGCCGATGGCCTCCACCACCCTGATGTTTGGGTTCGGGCCATGTCCCATGTTAACTACGAACGAGGTGAGTACACGGAGTACACATGAGTACACGAGGTCGTGGAGTACACGGGTGAACAGGTTACTCCAAACAATGAGCTCTGATCAAGAAACAGGGATCCCCTCGCCACGAAAATACTTAGAACATACCGTTTACCCCCAGATTCCCAAATGGACATGGGGACATGAACTTGAATTGGGGAGATGAAAAGGGACAGTATGGACAGTATCGTGGAGAGCTGATGAGGTCGGGAGTGGCCAACAGCCGGGATGTTCCAAACCCACCCACCCACCCACCCCCACCGGTTCCGGGGGCCCTCTCGGCACGTCCGACTCTGGAGTCCGAAGTCTCCTGGTTTTCACCTGTTTGACTCCGCCCGACAGGATCAAGGACCCGACCCGTTCGGTGGTTCGGTTTGGTTCGGGTCGGGCCCCCTGCGGAACCGGTCCAGTCACCCTCCAGTTCGGAGGGTCCAACGATCCTTAGGGCGGGGTCAAGTGCAAACCACCTGCCATCGCCGGCAGAGGAGTCTTTGGGATCCCCAGGGAGTTTCGGTGCGTGCGGCGCCGCGGACTCCGACGTGGATCCCCATTGGTTGAGCGATCCGCTGTCGTACCGAACCTGAGGTTCGGTACGACTGGATTGCCAGGGCAGGTAGATTCTGATGGCTTCAGCAATAAGAGTGGCCGGTATTTAATTCCATGGATGGTGAACCGGGCCAGGTTCGAGTTTGTGCCTCCTTCAGTGAAGGAGACTGCTCACCTCCGCCTGTGCAGCCGAGGTTTGGATACTTCTTCAACGATGCAGAGTATATCTCGGCCATGGATCTCAGTGACCAGCCGGTCGGGTCGCGAAGAAGGGCGCGCCGACCACGGTCCTCGTCCTCGTCCGACCTTACGCAACGCGTACGACAGTCGTTGACCGGCCGGTCGGCTCGTGTCGGGTCGGGTCCGCATGTCGGTCCACCCGGTCGCTGTGGTTTGGGGTTCCGGTCATGGACCATGTTCGGTAGATACATCACATTGGGGTTTTCCAGGAGGACGACCATATTGCTACTGAATCTCTTCCACAGACGTTTATATTTCATATATGATTAGAATGTTCTATATGTCCTCCAGACTGAGTTGTCAATAAGCAGGCTTCCGACACATCGAAGGCACCGACTCATCTGAGGGTCACATGCAAAAGCAATCAAGATAAATCCTTGGTTCTTGTGGGAATGTCACTGATTGTTTCCTGGCGAATCTGAAGGTTGAGGGTTCCAGATGGCTCCTAACCTCAAAAGGATAAAAGAAACAAACACTTTGCACAGAAGCCCATGCTGCCTGGACTGCGAGGTGTTTCGACCAGGTCGACTCTCGAAGCCAGAGGTCACATTGGAGCCACCGGTGGTGTGGAGGCCGCAGTCCCTATCCAGGTTCCCTGTGGATGGATCAGGGTGCACCCGGAAATCACCTCCATGGATAGCACCCAACTCCATGTGACTGCTGGAGGTTGGCCGTTTTTGCTCCCGGTCCCTTCGTTGGTGTTTCAACCGGCGCAGACGGCGCGGCGCATGGCGCGGTTTCGAAGGAAGTTCCGCAGAACGGGTCCGGGGCGACCGGCGGCCTTAAGGAGGATGAGCGGTTTCTGAAGAAGGTGAACGGTGCAGGGGGCCTCAGTGTCGTGTCCGGGCCACACACCTGGACCATGACAGGATGGGCCTGGCATGTTCTGCCTGGATGGATCTGGATGGGCTACCATCCGCTTGAAGACCATTCTGCCAGGAGTCACATGGAGTTGGGTGGTGTTTAGTCATGGATGTGACGTTCGGGCACCCTGACTTCCTCCATGGATAGCACCCAACTCCATGAAACTCCTGGTGCGTAGTTTTCTTTACTTGGACACCCCAGCTGCATGGTGTTGTCTTCTCCTTGTGCTGGCGACATCTCGCGACGACTCGTCAGCGAGGTTTGTGGCCTGGCGTCGACTCGGGGTGCTGGCGTCGAGAGGTATGGAGCGATCGACCAACTGAGATCACCTGAGTGTTAGATCCCTAGGGCCCTAGGGATCCTGTCGTACCTTCTCAGGTACGGTGATGTGTTCAACACCGCGACATGTAGGTGCCATTGTCGGGTCCAGTTGTACCGAACCTGAGGAGAAGGTACGAAAACGGATCCCTAGGGGATGTTGGGCTCCACATGGCTCCTACAGGTCCTTTGATAACTGCAGGTCCACCCTAAGAGGTCAGGAATTGACCGAGTCAGACTGGACGTGGACCCAAACACCGACCCGACCTGGTCGGTGGGGATTGACAGAGTCAGACTGGACCAACCAACCGACCAGCGGTGCCGACCTTCACTTCGGTCGGGGAGAGCGGCTGGATCCGCTGGAGAGGAAAAGTCCTCTCATTGACAAAGGCACCAGTCAGCAGCCACACTTGCTTGGATTTGGTTGTTTTACTGTTGATATGGCATCTCAACTTAGGGGCATTTGGACAAGTTCGACCGGCGTGTGCATGAGACGGTTCGCAGACTTGTTCACTCCAATATTGCTCCTGGACTCCATGTTTCTTCGTGTTTGAAGAGGGACCTCCATGCAGTCAATGATGCTCAGAACATGGACTCATTCCAGGGGCCACAGGCGGTGGTTTTCTTCCATTAGTTCCTAACCCAGTGCATCCCAGGCAACCACACTATAAGGAACCCCGGGATTCGTTCGGTCGAACTGGTGTTAGTCGAACTGGAACCACTGGTTACCAGCGACCTCGTGGTTTGCCTGGATGCCCTGGGTAAGTGAGTGGATGTTTGGGCACTTCGGCCAAGGAGGCACGGCGTTCAAGGGGGATTGTATGGAATCTGCTGGTTGAAGTTTGTTCCCATCCCTCAACTGTAGAACAGCCAAGGTTGCCAAGGCGAGGTATAACATCATTATTGCATACCTTCCCGCAAGGCGACAACCATATTACATGGTTTGCTCGGTCCTTCAAGAACCTCCGCCTTCCCGGTTCCTCAACTTGTCAACTGCATGACCCTAAAGCCTGTTCGGGCGAGGGCGGCACCCTACGAGCCCGGTTCACCCTGCTAGGTTCCCTAGGGATCCAAGTACCTTCTCAGGTACGGTGATGTGTTCGACACCGCGACATGTAGGTGCCAGCCAGTCGGGTCCAGTCGTACCGAACCTGAGGAGAAGGTACGAAAACGGATCCCTATAGGGAATGACCCTGCTTTGGTGGTTTATTCTGTTCATTTCTCCGTAGTCCCGGTGCCATGACCCACACCCACCATCTCGGCAGACCGTCTTGCAAACGCCTTGGGTTGCTCAAAAACGCGACCAACGGTGGCGCCACGATGGCGGAGATGAAAAACCACCCCAAAAACCAACAGGTCATGGCCAGGTCATATGAAAACTCCTGGCCACTCTCAGGTGGTGTTCAATCCCCAGTGGGACAACGCACCAGTTTAACCGGTGCTTTAGCAAAACTGGGGCTGGAAGCTTAAAAAGGCCGTGAAAAACCCGTGAAAAGGACGTGAAACAACCGTGGAAAGCCCGTGACAACAGGGTGAAAGGCCGTGAAAAACCTGTGAAAATTAGGTCTTGGAAGTTGGGAGGTGAAATGCGTCCTTTATGCTAACGCACCATTTTGACCCGTCCTTTGGACTTGCTGGGATTTGTCAACCGTACCTGGATCTGACTTCAATGTACCAGAAAAGTACCGAACATGGATGAACCTGGGACATGACCTGAAGCTCGACAAGCTACCATAGTAACAAAGGGCATCGCGACTCGAACGGAGTGTTCGGACGCTCGGAACGGGGCGTTCCTGGCATCACTACTAGGAACAAGAATCAAGAAGCTAGTAACAAAGGGCAAAGCAAAGGGCTGAACGAGGCAGTGCCCAGAGAGACACACAACCTTCCCAGACGCTCCATGTACGACCGACACCATCCAAGAGGTGTCTATAAATAGCCTCGTTTTGCAAAGGTTATAGGTTTACGGGGTGTCCAAGAACCACCGGACGTGGAAGGTCCATTGAGGATGTCCTGCCAGACCCCCCGTTCGACCATTCTTTGGAAGTACGTACTCACCTCCGTTCGACCATCCTCAGGAGGCAGCTGGACTTTATGGGTTAAGATGTCACATACGTTTACTCCATGAAAATGACCCCACCCTAAGGATCAAGGACCCTCAGTTCGGTGAAGGTTTGGTTCGGGTCCAAACCCCTGCGTTCTGCAGGGTCAAAACCCTCCAGTTCGGAGGGTCCAATGATCCTTAGGGCAATGTAACTATTCCAGTCCCATGGATGATTTGGGTTTGGGGACTCATCCGGACTGAAAACTCTCTCTCTCGCGCAGCGAACCATCAACGAGGTACGCATTTTCCTCCGTACCGTTGGTGTGGGCCATCGGCTTTCGGTCATCAAGCTGGTGATGAAGGTGAAGTGTACGTCGCGCGCTACGCGTGTCGATGGAAGAGGAGACCAGGCATTATGAGCCTGAAGTTCCCAGACGCTCTGTTCACAGCCCGACCGGTCCCTCAAAACCTACCAGGAGCCCTCGAAACCATGAAAAACAAAGGTTTTCACATACAAAAACTATGTTTTTGCTAGGGAAAACCAGGTTTTTGATGGGCCATGTGGGGCCCCTGGTAGGGAATGGTTCGACCCCAGACCCCTCCAAAGCATTCCGGTCTGACCCCTTCATAGGTTCGGGTCCAGGGTAGCGTCTGAGACCAGGCTCACATCAGGAAAGGATCCTGCTGAAATAGGGGCTCACAGCCAGGGTTGACCATTGGAGATGCAAAGTAGTTGTGTGTTCAGGTACAGTATTTGTGATATCACTTGTCCAACCGGTTCCTTATGAAGCCAAGCGTGTTTTGACATGCGAATACGACAGACGTCGATTGAAACCAATGCCATGCAGCCATGCAAACCACGCCGTAAACCACTCAAGTCAAGAGGTGGACATGATGTGGGTGTATGTGGGTGTGTAGCTCAGGACATGGGAGACCAGACCCTGCCATTCCAACCCGTAATGGTCGGACACATCGACCAGTCTACCCCGCCAGGGGCAAAGGGATACCCTGTGGCCGGCGCGGCGAGGCCTCCACAGCCGGGACGTTGCTGACGGTCGCCCCTTTGATCGCAGACCTGCTGATGCTGCAGGCGATCCTGCTTGGTTTCTGAAGATGTTCAGTGCAATGCTGTCCATATGCCACCCTCCAACAGGTAGCCTTCACAAACCACCTGGTGAGGGTCTCCAAACAGCCAGTTGGAGGGTCCTTGTGTGTGTGTGTTGCTTGAATGTTTGTGTGTGGTCTTCACCATGTCAATACTGATAGAGAGCGTATATAAGCAGTTGCCCACACTTCTGCCACTTGTCATTCATCCAAGCAAAAAAGTAGAATCTACCGGCTGGTGGTCGGCCTTTCGCACCTGCCAAATGGATTGCTGTTGCCCACCGATGGTGCAGGCGCTGGCCTTGAGGAAGAGATACTTTGCCCGAAAATATGAGGTGTGAGGCTCGGTGTCAAATGCCTGCAGTGCGGGCAGGAAGTTCCATGCAAGCCAAAACGACTCAACCTGGAGTCTCAAAGTATCCTAGAAACTGAGTATAGTTGGGGTCATGTCCTATTTTCTCAGGTCCTTTGAGACTTACAGGTTCTCTCATCCACTGCTTTTCGGTCCCGCTTCTTCCTCGTTTGTCTCGTCTCCCGCTTTCGGTCCGAATGGTTGTGCGACGGACGCCCGCGGCCGAGTGTTCTCTCGGCCGAGTGTTCGGCACGGCCCATGGTTTCAACTCCCGTAGAACACGGCAGTCTTCGACATGTCTGGGTCTAGAGGAATCTGGTACCAAAACCCTAGGGATCCTGTCGTACCTTCTCAGCAGGTGATTGGAGACACCGCTATGTAGGTTTGGAGGGTCCAAGTACCTTCTGAGAAGGGATGTCACGGATTTCTGGTACCTCTCTTTTTTGCGGCTTGGCGCTTGGATGTTCACGGCCCCAAGACCTTCACTGAATGGTGCGAGTACAGCAGACTTCAGGTCTCACCAGACTTCAGCGAGTACATGGTACAGCAGCTTGGATTCGAAGCGCTTCCAAACAGAAAGGTGAGCAGTGGGTCTAGGCAGAGCCATCGCTATTAGGTTGGAGGCCATCTCTCTTAGGGGGAGGCCATCGCTAGTACTGTAACTGCTAGTAGGTTGAAGGCCATTGCTTCTAGGGGCAGGCTATCGCTACATGACCCAGCTATTTCACACGACGATCATATTCGAAATGCTTCGCGAAAGAGACCTGGTGTCGAGGTAGGTCGTTCCCATTGGTCTCCTATAGTGCTATGACCCGAAATTGAGAGGGCTATGGCAGTGTACTCTGTCTCAAATGGGTTTAGGGACCACCCCAAAACTCCCAAACTCTAGTACCTGGACCATCCTGGACCCGAATTCAAGTGCCAGACCCGAACAAGAATCAGGTATCCATTTTCCGAGGTCAACTGAGACTCCAGGTGTAGGCCGCATACTACCCAGGAGCGTTTGTGAGCACTTAGATCGCCACTCGGAGTGCGATCTTCTCGGTCGGTGATTTAGTGCCATGAAACCACCCAGATGTTCCTGGTCTATATAGAACCTCTTCGAATAGGCGTTCTTTTGTGAAAACGGACCAGTTGTTCTGCCGAAGTTGGGCGGAAATTCATGAAGATCCAGGTATGGAGGGGTGAACGGGGTCTCAGAGTGTATATGAACGGAGCATTTGGGCTTGCGGAGCAAGCAGCTGTGGCCAGAAACCGCTCCAATTCACGCAGGTGACCTGCAGTACGAAACCTTGAAGAAAAGGACGTCCAATTCACCGGGCTTTTGAGGGTAACAAAAACAACAGAACTCTTGGCCCACCAAGATCCTCATTCAGGTTCCAGAACTCCTGTGGATGAAATCTGGCCGTGTTTCCCTATGTTCTCACCATGTTCTCCCCATTATCGCCCCTGGGAATTCAATTTTGCACCAAGCGTACCAAGCGTACAAGGCTCATGGCCAAGAAGGAAGAGGAGAACCGGCTCCCAGGGATGCTGGCAGAGGACCGATTGCGACCCGAAGGCCACCCGCTCGCAAAAACTGGAATTTGAAGATTATATTTATGTTTAACTTCAAGGTGTGAGGTTTCTATGTTCAATAAAAACTTATTGGCCTTCTTTCTGTTTGGCGCTCACTCATTGGGGTATCGAACAAATGCGCCCGCCGCGCGGCCACGCGCCGCGCTGCGCCCAGAGGGACGTGCATGTGTCCTGTGCATCTCCTGTCCTATGCATGTCCTGTGCCAACATGCAGGTCTTTGAAATGGTTTTTTTCTGCATAATATGAATGACATGGACATGTAGTATGACATGTTTATGTTAACATATATCAACTTTGGATGTCACAGACATATATTTGACACACTCCTTGGAATCATGGAAATGGAATTCACCACCTGTTATTGGTTCTTCTTGGGGCCATGTCATCCACGATCATCCACGTATGCAGGGAGTGTAGATCTCGGCAACACACTCCTCATTGAGTCCTGTCACCTCAACCAGACATCAAAGGGATCGACTGGTCCTGCTGCATGAGTTTGACCATGACTGCCATGGCGGAGGTTTGACTCTGGCAGATCTCTGGCAAATGTAGACCTGCATCTTTCTTCCACCTGTTAACGTTCCCAACGAGTCAGATCTGTCCTGTGAAACCAGGCGCAGTTCGTCGCACGCATGGAAGAAACAGATCGTCGCCTCACAGATACACATGATCGTTCATGATGATACTGCCTCACGTGTATTGTTTTGCCCATGGTTCTTCTTCGTTCGTTAGTAGCTGTGCTTGATGAGGGAGGGTCCAGTGAGGGTGATGAGGGTGTGCTCACCCAGACACTCCATGTCTGGAATAGGTTACTGTAACATAAAGTCATACCGATACGTGGACCCTCGAAAGTTCCCTTAAAAAAGGGGACATGACCCGAACCAAACACAGCTACGACTTGGGGCGGGACTCTGTTTCAGGTCGACTCCAGGTCGACTCCAGGGCGGAGGGGCGCCGCCTTCTCGGAGAGAAGGCGGTCCCATGGAGTGAAGATGTGTGGCAACCCTCGAGAGCTCGCTGGGAGATCCCAGTGGTTCTAGGCGTACGACTCAAACCATAGACTCGAAGCCAAAGAAAGCCAAAGAAAGCCCTGGGTTCCTTACTCAAGTCGTGGTTTGCCTGGTTCTTCACCTGGGTCAGGACGATGCTGCTGCTCTTGAACGTGATCAAGACTGGCATCGCAGACTCGAAGAACACGACTGACCGCGGCAGCGCGGCAGTGCGGCAGCACTCGCACCGCCCATCAGCGGTGGGGTCCTGGCAGTGCGGCAGCCCTGGCATCGACCGACTTAAGGGAGTGCTACGGTGGAGCGATGCCGTTGTACAAAGTTCCGCCACTGCCGGAGCGCATTCCAAAAGTGGACCTGGAGTCAAAAGTGGACCGTACTCCGTAATTGCGTGCTTTTCTGGGGTCATGTCCCATTTTCGAAGGTAGGAACAAGGACGCTACGAATGGGGCTCCTGGCATCGCTACTAGTAGCAAGAAGCTATACGTTTCGAGTAGCAAGGACGCTACTATAGTAACTACCTGGACTGGACCCTCCAAAGTATTTAGAAAATGGGACATGACCCGAACAAAAAACAGGTACGACTGGGGCCCCATTGACTCCGAGGTACGAGTTCCGGGTCGACTCCAGGTAGTAACAAGAGACTCCAGGGCATCGACGCTTGAAGTCAGGTCCCGGCAGGCTCCTGCAGTGGCATGGCTTCGACAGCAGGAGAGTGGTTCAAGTACCTGACCCCTTGGGGTTACACTCTGAACACATCACATGGTGGAGAACGCATGGTCCCTGAAACGAAGACTACTTTCCCACAAACAGGGGGTGAACTCACTCCACTTCCATGCTACCAGGAGCCCTCAAAACCATGAAAAACAAATGTTTTGACATACAAAAACCATGTTTTTTGCTAGGGAAAACCAGGTGTTTGATGGGCCATGTGGGGCCCCTGGTGAGTGGAAGTGGTCTGGGAGTTGAAGCCCGGCTTGGCGACCTATTCTCTTCGTCGCACCGAGTCGCTCCGTCCTTCCTTGAGGTCTGGTCTGGGGCTTTGGAGAATGACTCCGATGCGATGACCTGAACCAACCCCTACCCAGACACTCCATGGGACTGCCATATATGCCGCCCCATTGACCCCTAAAACCACCCCAACTGATCGGTAAATATGCCATACATGGAGTGTCTGGGCTAGGGATCCAGTCGTACCTTCTCAGGTACGGTGATTGGAGACACCCCTATAGGTTTGGAGGGTCCAGTCATACCGAACCTGAGAAGGTACGACTGGATCCCCTAAAAAACCGGGAACAGACCAACGATCGATGAAGCGTGTGCATGAGACGAGGGACGTTGGGGGAAGTGGAGCCCAAAGATCATCCCAATCTGAACCCTAAGGGTTCAGGACCATCCGAATCGGATGTCCTTTGACCCCCGTACCTGGACCCTATGGGGAAGGGATTACTTACCCACGACAAGTCTGGGACTGCCAGTCCGGACTGCCGCCCCAGAAAGACCCCCTGGCACCACCACCCCTGGCCGTGAAACTCGGCAGTCCTGACTGGCAGTCCCAGACGGACGTCGTGTCTGGGATTGTACGACACATCAAAGTGCGATGTTCCAAGGTAGGAACATGTACTTCACTCGACTCCTATGTTCAGCACACGTGAGTTCAGCAGAACGCGTGCTTCAGTGTGATTCTACCGCTGTCGAGCTGTTAATGACCCGCGGACCGCGGACGAATGGGAGGCTGGACAAGTTGGGAATACCGATGGACCCATTATGCTGGGGGAGTTTTGGACCTTGCAAATTATCTACGATTCTTTAGTCATGTACTTGCTAATAAGTACTTGCTATATTATTCTTGAAGCCTGTGATGTTTGCCATGTGGTTTACAATAATGTCTTGTGCATTTGAGAATCAGTGGACTGGCTGTTTTCCACACGCGGCCCCATCGGCTTCAAGTTCTGGCTGGCCAGGTGGTTTCTGGACCATGTCCGTTTCAGCTTTCGGCAGTTCTGCTTATGCTCCGCAGAAAATGCGATACATCAGAGATCAGAAGAGCCATTCAAGCAAGCCTTGAAGAGAAACCATGAAGCATGGGCACGCAGGAGTCTTTGAGCACTGCAAACACACGCTGTTCGAGAAAATCCAGCAGCTTTCCTCGTCACATTGTATGACATGCTAAGCTATGATTGAAGCTTAGAATGTTGGCCCGTCCAGTTTCCAAACAATCCGGACTGAACTCTTTGGCCACATAGATGTGCTAGGGATCCAGTTGTACCTTCCCAGGTACGGCTGGATGTGTTCGACACTGAGACATGTGAGTAGGTGACACTCTTGTCGGGTCCAGTTGTACCGGAACAGCCGACTGCGGCATGTTGCATTTCATGGTCATTCTATAGGCAGCAATTCTCAAGCAGACGCAGACCAAAAGGAAAGGTTTTTTTCTCGAATTGGTCGAATCATCGACTTCCGAGACTCGAAAAAATGGAATCAGAGCCCTAAGGGTCCAGGATATGTCCTGCCGGATGTCCTGCCAGACCCCCCGGCAACGACCATTCTTTGGTTTCGTACGTACGTACTCACCTCCGTTCGACCATCCGAGCAACGGAGGTAGCTGGACCCTATGGGGGGTAGATTGCTGCAGAACTCTGCTGGCCATTCTTCCGCTGGCCGTTCTTCCCCAAAAGCACTTCGCTTGCCGCTGGGCGTTCGGACTTCCTTTTGCGCGCCATGTAGGCCATGTAGGCCATGGCTGAGGCAGGGAAGTGTCCGATGCTGGGATCCTTGGGAATATTAGGATTACTTCCATTGATGCGGTGGGAAAGAAGATAATTATATCCCTATAGGGCTCCAAGTACCTTCTTAGAAGGTGTTTGGAGAGGGTTTAGAGGGTGCGAATACCTTCTGAGGAGGACAATTCGATTGGCCATTTGGGGCGCAAAACCCAATGCACCGTCGCAGAGATGTGGCAGACATCCCACTTTCACGGCTCTTTCATCCTGAAGGAGGCTTGTTTTGGCATCCAAATCTGGAAAAGAATTCTTGGGGTCCGACCACTCCTCGTGTCAGGGGTGGAGGGGAACCCCTCCACCCCATCCTCTGAAGGCTTCTGTGAAGGGTTGCGGGAGGCTTCGGGGTCTGTGAACGGAGCCTTCGGGTGTGGACATACTTCGTTGAGTCGTGGTCGTTGGAGACACCCCCTCAGATGACGAACAGATGATTGAAATCCGAAATCGTCTGTCCGGTCTTAATGACAACCCCTAGGGATCCTGTCGTACCTAACCTCAGGTACGGTGATCTGTTCGACACCGCGACATGTAGGTGCCGTTGTCGGGTCCAGTCGTACCTTCTGAGGTTCGGTACGACTGGAGCCTTAGGGAACGATCGCTGCGGGAGCTTCGATTGTACAGGCCTGGAGCCTCAAGAGCCTCCGCCCGCCGAGCCCCCAGCAGTTCAAGGAGAGTCTCGTACGACATGGACTTCCACAGCGCGGTCCCGCCGTGGTCTCGTTTGCTTTCTCGTTTTTTTGGGTGTGGAGAGGCCACAATCCATTGCTTTGCTTTGGTATCACAGTGACTCCGCAGTTTGTTTTTCGCGCAAAGGTTGAGGAACAGCTGCAAGTTCGAGGTTGAATTTCCTTTGGCTGCGGCACAACACTGCGGGGGTTCAAATGTTGGTTAGCAGCAACCACAGGCAAGCTGAATGGAAAGCGTCAGGAAGCTATACTCGAAGTGGTCCAGCCAACTACTTGGTGCAGGTGGCGGAACTAAGATCCATTAAAACCCACCCTGATAAGCAATGGCCTCCAACCTAATAGCGATGGCCTCTAACCAAACAGCAATGGCCTCCAACCTGATAGCGATGGCCTCGTAATAGCGAGGCCTCCAACCTCATAGCGATGGCCTCCAACCTCATACTGGTAGCAATGGCCTCCAACCTAGTAGCGATGGCCTCCAACCTCATACTGGTAGCAATGGCCTCCAACCTAATAGCGATGGCCTCCAACCTAGTAGCAATGGATTTAAATCTCAAATCAATTTGTGTTTCTATTTGCTTGTGGAGTGGCAGACCCAAACGGCGCAACATCATTCATAACTTTTGATCATGACAGAGCATCGCTTGTTGTGCCTCTACTTTCCAGTTGGGCCAGGGGGGTGTCGAGCTTCGTTTCAAGTGGCATTCCTGGAACAAGCAGAGTTTCGACGCACGAATGGATGTAGATGATGTTAAACTGTTAAACTATTGAGCAGAAGAAAAGGGTGACTTGCAAACGTTTGTGGGGCCCCATACAATCCCAGGTAAGTACCAAAAACACAATATCACCTAAAGGCCAAGTCAAAAAAGACTAATGTCAGACATCGCGAAATGCAGTGTTGTTTTTCGTTTTAAGAAGAACGATTTACTTTCTAACAATCATGCCCCAAGGTCATTTTTTGGGGAATGATTGTTGTTGTATTAGGTACACGTGCTACCCGACGTGCCACTCACCAGCAAGTCTCGAGCTTCCAGTCGACATCCGCTCGCATCGTCGTCAACCATGACCGTTCCCCCAAGGGTCCGGTTCCCACATGGAGAAACACCCTGAAAAGCAAGCTGAAACACATGGAGTTTGCTTTCCACCCCTAAGGATCATTGGACCCACCGAACTGGAGGGTTTTGAGGACCCTGCAGGTTCCGCAGGGGGCCCGACAGGACCCGAAGCAAACCTTCACCGAACTGAGGGTCCTTGATCCTTAGGGTGACAGATTTTTCCGGGAAGGTGGAGAACTTTTGATCTTTTTGGGACCAGCCTTCACATTGTCAGTGGAGAACCCCAGCCTTCACCCGTGACTCAAGGAGTCTTTTTCTTTTGAAGGACCAGGTGATGGACCAGGTGAGCACCCGACCGCACATTCCTCACGGCCAAACCGACCAAACCGACCGTGTGCATCGCCGGCTTGGAGTCGTTGATGTTCGTTGATCGAATCTAATTGAGTTCTACATCACCGGCTTGAGAAAATAAAACATGTGATATACAAAATGTTTTGCTTAAAAAAGCAGTTTTAAACAAATCACCGGCTTGGAGTTGAATAGAGTTGCAAACATGCAACTTAACAGTTAATGTTATATTACCTGGACCTTCATTTCGGGGTGTCCTGTCTGGAGATCCCTAGGTAGTGTAGGGGCTTCCAGCCAGGTGACCCCTTTGAAGACTTCGGTTCCCATTGTAAATGTTCCCTGATTCGATGGCCACTCCAAAGCGTGTCGCGTGTCAACCGTGTCAACGAAGGTGGAGTCGATTCGAAACCGCATCGATTGCGGGCTCCAAAGCAACCTGACGTTTAAAGGTGTGTGTGGTGTTGTTCTATTCCCAAACTGGCCGTCATGCTTTTTTTGTTTTCGCCAGAAAGACCCTAATAAAACCAAACCGCCGGAACTGATCGGCAAATATGCCAGACACGGATACGTGGAAGGGACTGCACGAAAAGCTTGCGCATAGACCCTGCAAAGCTCATGTTCTTGCATATCCTATTGACCAAACTTGTCGACCAGCATATCATCATTTGAGTCAAATGTGTTGCAGCCAACCAGCACCAACCTTTTTTTCCCAACACCAACCCTTGACCAGCACATCTCTCAATTATGTCCAACCAACTTGGTTTGATATGTTTTGATGGTCGTTTCTGTACATCCCTACCAGCTTCTTCAAAGTGACCTTTTGAAGGTTCCTAAGTGACCCAAACAGGAGGCTTAAGTGACCGAACCAACCAGGTGATCAAGTTCGGTCACTTTGAAGAACCAGGTAGGCTCCAAGCACCGAAAAGAAGGTGCTTTGTTCATGCGGACCCATGAGGGTGGAATGGTCAGGCGACCGACTATGTGCTCGCCTGATGTGGGTGGTGGGCGGATAGCCTGCATGTCACCTCTTGGGGGATTGGTTTCCCCACCACACATTCTGCTTTAGAGAGTGGGCTGCAACTGAACCATCATCATCCTTTCAGGCCCTGGGAATAGACCCAATCTATACCTTTTCTTCTCTGAGCATCGTGGCATCGGCGGCACCGAAAACCCTCCAACGGCACCGGAACAGCCGTGGCCTCCGCGGATGGGGTCAGGAGCTGTTGTCCTCCGCGCCAAGTCTCAGAGAAGCCAAGGAGAGGTCGCGTCAGGTTGCGCCGATCCAGGTCGCGTCGTCCGCGTCCACTGACCTGGACTGGTGCCAAAACCAAGGGTCTGACCTAATCGTCCAACCAGGCCAACAGTGGATAGGAGTAAAGATGAGTGAAGAGACGCCCTTTGTTATCACCCAAACGCTCGATGGGACTGGAATATATACTATACACGAGGCCCTTGGACTCCAACCACCCCAATGTATGCAAATATGTCCCACGGGTTGTGTTTGGGTCATGGTAGGGCGGACTTCCCACGGCTTTTCGGTTTTTGTTAGCAGAGGGTCGCATGCTTTTCGGGGGCGCATGGCATTTGGCATCGTTTCTCCAAATCTGAGCAACACCGGCGCTTGCGGTCCTCACCCCACTCGTCGAGCCGGCACTCACAGGGCGAACCGCGGCTCGCTCGGCACTCCACGCAGGCTCGGCGCTCGTCTCTCCTGGCGGAATATGCTGAAGATCATCACAGCCTCAAGGCGGGGCGGGACCTTGCCGTCGCCGTGTGGAGGTTTGGCGGGGTTCGGCGTAATTACTACAGGAACGATTCCCAAGGAAGCTTCTATAATGGTTCACAGAAAGCTTTATTGTTATACTAAGAAGCTTCAGATACTAAAAGACTTCTTGTTACTACAGGTGGAACGATTCCCAGTGGAAAACTTAGGAAGTCTCAGGTGCAGTACGACTGGACCCGACAAGAGTGTCACCTACATCAGGTACGGAGAGTGTCTCCTTCTTTACCTTCGAAGGTACGACTGGAAGGTGACGTGGACATGGATCCATCAATGAATTTCTAGGTGCAAGATTGATAGAATCTTTCGCAAACGAAGGCGCAAAGATAACATTTCAAGACCTTGCTTCCAAGATGGTGAGTAATGGTCCCATGGAACATGGAGGACACGGAGAACTGACCTGTTTGGATTTTAGATGCATGTGAACTTTCTTATAGACACCAACGGTGAACTACGTCGGTTTCCGTGAGATTCACGATTTTTCACGAGGCCCTTGTTCACGTGTTTTCTGTACCCAGACTGCATGAGGAGCACAGCATAAACAGAAAGGTGATTTGAATGAATTTGTTGGTATACTGTTCCCATACCCCCAAAAAACACTGTTCCTGCATGTTTCTGCGTTCTTGGTGCCATTTCACCTTGGTGCTGTCGCCCAGTGACCAACCAACCTTGTCAAGTTATCAATACAGGACATTGATGCCCTCAAGCACCTCAGAAACTGCCTGTCAAGAATGACGAAGTCCTGGGCAGACCACCATTAAAGAGCCAGCCTTTCAGACGATTTGGAGTTCTTAAGCCCTGGATGCTTGGCTGGGGTGGTAGTGGGGTGGTCTACCCCAAACCTCATGAAACAACCTACTCCCATCACGTCTCCTATCTCCCCGGACATCCTCCCCAGTCTCTCAAGCTCCCGTCAAAGTGGGTCAAAGCTGAGGAGGAATGGGAAGCAATGCAGCGGAAGCCAGACTTGCAGGAGTGCTTTCTACCGATTCTCGATATCACTGTACCTTCATCTCAGCCATGTAGCTGTTTCAGCATTCATTTTGGCGAAAAAGCTTGTGAAAACGGAGCGACTTTCATGAGGGTTTCTTGCAAAGGAGCAAGATGTTGAAAGGGTGAACATCAAATAGAGACTCCGGACGTCGACCCGCTGCGCACCGACGAGTTCTCGTCGCTTCCACCAGAACCAGGGGAACCTGCCAGCCACCAGGTTAGCAGTTCGCTCCTCGTCCCCAATGAGTGAAGCAGATTTGCACTCAACAGCCGGAAATGTCTTACCCTAGGGATCCAAGTACCTTCTCAGAAGGTGGGACTGGGGTGGGTTTGGAGGCTCCAAGTGCCTTCTGAGAAGGTACTTGGATCCCTAGGGTTAGTCTTCAATGCTTTTTGGAGTCAACAACAATGCAGCTTTAATGGTCGAATGGAAGTTAGTAGGGTATAGTTTAACCACTTCATGTCGCACATGTTGTGTCTAATGCACGTGTATCCACGTACCGACACCTTTGAAATCACATCCTCTTGAAAAGGAGCAACTCTCTTTTTGCGTCATTCTTGTAAGGTTGTGAAGGTTGTGGGAATACACATTTGACAGTGCTAGGATTCCTGGATGTGCTAGGTCAGTTTCTCAATATAATATAACCAACCATCATCAACTACCCATTTGCCAGATTTGGGAATGCCCATGCAGCGCGGACATGAGATACCTCTCTAAATCGTCAAAGGCCCTTCCGAGCCCAACACAACTGTCATATGGCTCTTGTGTTGGACACAAGAGAGCTCTGAAATTGTGCGCGGCGCAAAGCGTGCACCTTTCTTTCACGACTCTGTGTTTGCCTAAACCAGCTGGCGCAAGACCTCCAGCTTGCAGTTCCGGTGATTGTTCCACTTGAAAGGAAGGTGATTCTTCCAGGTGAGCCAAGTTCACGTGGTGAATATAATTCGACCGAAAGGACACCCGTGCAGTTCAGTGTCTACAGTCTTATGCCGTGCACTGATAAGACTCAAACCTATACCGATCTTCAGTCCGGCACTTTTACAGGGTCCGGCGCCGGACTTCCAACTCCGGCGAATTTGCTGGATTTGGTCCGGCTTTTTGTCCGCCCAAAGGAGGATCCAGGTATAGTTATGTTGAACCTTAAACATGGGCAGCAGCACCACCCCAAGCGTGGCCTTAAGCAGGCACCGCATTTGCGTGCCCGAGAACTCCGTAGTTTCTACCTGTAGCAACGAGCAAAACTTTTGTTCGAAGTACTTGTCAAGTCAACGTCTTCCCGGTGCCATACACGACTAAATGGGACTGCCATAGGACTGCCGCCCCAGACAGACCCCCCAGTCACCCCTGGACGTGAAACTCGGCAGTCCGGACTGGCAGTCCCAGACGGACGTCGTGTCTGGGATGTGTTTTCTGCATCGATCACGCCCAAAAGAACCGTTTTCCGCGAGGACCTCGTCTTGACGCCACCGGCCGTCAGTGCGGAGGCCGCCGTGGAGCACACATGACCACACGACGTCGTGGACGAGACACGACGTCCGTCTGGGACTGCCAGTCCGGACTGCCTTCAAAACGGTCAGGGGTGGTTTTGGGCGTCAATGGGGCGGCATATATATCCCAGGGCATCTAGTTTCCACTATAGCTGGTAACCAGTGGTTCCAGTTCGACTAACACCATAGACCTAGAACCCCTGGTTCCTTATATAGGGGTAACTGGGATGCACTGGGTATGGCATACATGGAGTGTCTGGGACAGAAAAGAGATGTACTTCCTAAGAGCGATGGCCTCCAACCTAAGAGCGATGGCATCCAAGCGTTTTCTGTACAACCATGGGTGGAAAAGGCAACTATCAGCCAGACTTCCATGGATAGCAGTGTGTAGGTGCATGCCTTCAAATTCCGAAAGCCTACGGCAAACAGTATTCGCGAAAGGTCAACGATAGCAAAGGTCCCTTGTTTCGCCTTGAGGGTTGACATGACTCGATCCATGTGGTTTCCCCTGTCTCCGCTCTCCGCTTAGCCGGTCGAAATTGAGATGCACGATGTGCAATTGTCTTGCAACCCCATTTTGCTACCCTAAGAATCATTGGACCCTCCGAACTGGAGGGTGACCAGACCCTGCAGCTTCCGCAGGGGGCCCGACAGGACCCGAACCAAGCGTAAAAACTCACCCGTGTATCTCCCACCTCCTGGTCCGATGTCTTTGGGCCAGGAGATGCTCAACGGATGGCAGCAGTGTGCAGTGGAAGATATGTTGAGGCCAGGAAGGTGTTGAACGAAAGGTGAGTGCAGTCGGGATAGATCTGATCAAATCAGAAAAACACATGATCTGCGAGTGTCTGTCGACCATGTTTTTCTTATTTTGTTTAAATAGTGTTTGGGTGACTCGAGTCTAGAAATTCCGAAAAACAAAGAACAAAACACATGCAACATGAGAAGACAGATGAGTATTTCTTACTAGCGATGGCCTCCATCCCAATAGCGACGGCCTCCAACCTAAGAGCGATGGCCTCCACCCTAGTAGTGATGGCCTCCAAGCAGTCTTTGGGTGACTCGAGACTGATAATCTCCTTTACTTTGGTGTCGCCCAATATGGTCTAACTGGACCTCTAGGGAACAGCAAAAACGTCTTTAGGTGGGCATGCTGCTCCATCATTAGCCACATGATTTGGAAGGCATCTTATCGGGGTCATCTCCTTGACGAACGTGGAATTCATCAACTCCGCTTCTGAACATCTTGATATCGAGTTCCTTTTTGTTGATCGAAAGGTTTGCACATGGTGTTGACCACCGCCATGATAGTACCTGCAACAATCCGTACAAATCCATACAAATCCACAAGTCCCCCAAGTTCTCGTCTCCTTCCCCAGGAAGCACGTGGGACATCCACGTGCATGGGACATCCTTGCCGAAGAGAAGGGACACGCACGGACCGAACACCCCAAAGGGGGGTGTTCTGTCCAGGTGCCCTGTTTTGAACAGGCCTTTACCATCATCCCCTGTTGGAGATCTACCCAACCTTTTGAAATGCAGGTCTTCGGCCGGCTTGGAAGTTGGATAGATCCAGGAAAGCCTAAATCCATGGCCATTCAGCTGATCACCGGCCCAAACATCCAAAAACCATGGTTTTACCCAGACGCGACCCTGGGCCCTCATATGGAGGGGCTGTGAACGGAGCGTCTGGGTAATGGTCTCGAAAAAAGAACCAGTGCAATTCCCAGACACTTGATGGGACTGCCATATATGCTGACATTGACCCCCCAAACCACCCCAATGTAGGCCGGCATATATGGCAGTCCCATGGAGTGTCTGGGATTGATAGGATGTTAGACTATTTTCATCCACGTTGGTCTGTTCCAAAAATGGTTTTCACCCATAGCCCCCCACCGTTTTTCTTTTTGTTCTTCCGGTCACCTAGACCGAAGTGAGGCTCGACGCCGGCGAATGCCCACTGAAGCTCCACTGGGACGAGCTCTATCGCGAGGCGCCGGGAACAGACGTTGGAAGGAAGTGGGGGAAAAGATGGGAATTGACCACCTCTGGTTCTTCAAAGTGACCGAACTTGATAACCTGGTTGGTTCGATCACGAACAAGCCTCCTGTTTGGGTCACTTAGGAACCTTCAAAAGGTCACTTTGAAGAAGCTGGCACATGTTTTGTTCATTGTATTTCTTCTTTGGTGTTTCTGACTAAGAGTGGTATAGTGAGTGGTTATTACCTGGAGTCTCTGGCAACAAAGCTTGTTCTCAAAAGGAGTTCAAGTATACGTAGCTTTCACCTGGTTTGGTTCGGATCATGTCCCATGTTCCCAAAGTTCGTTTCTGATATGACTGGGACACCGCTTCTGTTCGTCAGGATTCATTGGCTCCTGTCCCGTTCCGTGGTGCATGTGGGATCGTGGCTGTTCACTTTGGTCCGGAACACAGCGCACAAGGTCGTGGCCTGTGGGACTGCTCCTTTTGGTGGCTTGGCCGACTCTGCCATGGAGTTTGCACTGCATAGGCACCACCGACCGCTGCCGAGAGGTATAGGAGTTTTGGGCCGGAGCTCGGATCGTCGCTCGGACGCGGAAGCGTGCGTGTTCCGCCGAACGCCGCTGCCGCTTCAAAGCCTTGCGTGTTTGGATTCGGAAACTTGAACAGCTCAGTAGGACCAGGTGACCATTCCTCAATTTCACGCGCGTCCGGGTTCACCATGTCGGATGTCGACTTTGTGCGTCCGGGGCGAAACGCATCGCGACTCGAACGGAGCCTTCGGACGCTATCGCTACCGGGGCTGGAGCGCGGAGCGCTGGGTTCGCTCAGATCGCCCTCAGATCGCCCGCAACGGCGCCAGGTTGCTGCGACGTCGGAAGCCTAGTTATGCGGTCGATGGGCGACACCGCCGCGGTGTAAAACCACCGCGCAAAGGGTGGGAAGAGTTGGAGGTATCGATGGAGGCTTCTTTGGTGAAAGGAAGGTGGTGTGTAAGATCGTGTAACCCATGTTGATGAAGTCAGATATTTCTTGGACAACACAAAGAGGGATTCGTCCTGTTTTTTTGTTCATCCCTCCGTTGATGCACTTGGTAGCTGTTTCGCTTCCAAAATCTCATCCAACCTCACAAAACCCACACAGATCTTCCAACCTCAGATCTTCAACGCGGCCAGGCCCAGACCCGTTTGCCTTTAGTTCGACCATTAAAAGAATGGGAACGACCTGGTGGTGCAGTGTAAAAGTCCTTATAGTAACACAATGGTTGGCTTCGGCCACGAATCCTAGAGATGACATGAACACATCACACATTGGAAGTGCTAGAGGTGACCAATTTGGATGACTGGATGACGTTGGGAGTTTCTTTTCGGACGCACCTACTTGGTTGGAAAATGGGGGAGACTCGGGACTCAGACGGGGTTCACCAATAGATCACCACACCCGCATACCTCGGTCTTCGGTGACAGCTCGGACTTTCGGTCCTGGAGTTCGGTCCTCGGTGTCCTCGGTCGTTGTCGAGTCGTTTTTGAGACCCTATACCCTGGGAGTCCAAGATTTTTAAAACGGTCTGACCAGGTGATCCGAAAAGGAACTTCCTTTACTTGGGTGGTGCCTAAAATAGTCTTTGGACTTCTAGGGTATACGGATCAAGGAGCCTCAGTTCGGTGAAGGTTTGGTTCGGGTCCTGTCGGGCCCCCTGCGGAACCTGCAGGGTCCGGTCACCCTCCAGTTCGGAGGGTCCAATGATCCTTAGGGCAGAATCTAGGGATCCCAGTAAGTACCTAACCTCAGGTACGGTGATGTGTTCGACACCGCTATGTAGGTGCCGGCCAGTCGGGTCCAGTCGTACCGAACCTGAGGTTCGGCACGAAAACGGATCCCTAAAAATAGAGATCATCCAAGGCTAGCGAAACATGAAGGACTGTGATCTATTGGTTTCTTGGTCAGAAGGTGGTTTTCTTCCGTGGATCCGTGGCCCTGCTAAGGGTAAGGACCATCCGTACGGTCGACCGGATGGTCGTTTTGGTTTCGGTGTTCGGACGAAACCTGAGAATGCGGACATCTGGGACCGGACCCTCCAAGCTGCTCGGATGGTTCTGGACCCTTAGGGTATAGCCCTAGCAGTCCAAAGACTATTTTAGGCACCACCCAATTAAAGGAAGTTCCTTTTCGGATCACCTGGTCAGACCGTTTTAAAAATAGTCTTGGACTCCCAGGGTAGGGCAATGACATGGAGTTTCTGGGTGGGTGTCTTGCGCCACTCCATGCAACGGGCGCCGCGCCGGCGCGCCACCCAGTTCTCCAGGTCAAGGCGCCATGCGCGTGCAACGGCAGGTGCTTCGGCAAATTCGCCAAGATGAAGGTAGGGCATGGTGGGGACAATCAGTGGTACCCGGGAGGTGAGGAGTCAGTGCGCCACAGGTTCATTTGTTGCGCTCGCATTTGGTGCCAGGTGGCGTTTTGTCTTAGCAAAGCTGAACATGTGTGCTTGGCAATCACAGAGAGTGGGACCTCACTTAAGGTGGGCTCACTACTAGGCTTGGCTTGACCGGTGCATTTGGGCCCACAACGATAGTATACTGCCCGCTAAGGACAACCGAGTTAGCGGAAATAACTTGAAATAACCTTCAAATCCAAAGTCCTAAGTCATAATGCAAAGAATCCACTAAGACCTCGGTCATGAGCCTTTGGAAAAATCAAAGAAATAGAGCCTGGCCGAGCCTTTGCGGACTGCATTTCACAACTGAAGGTCTGATGACAGAGGAGTTCAGAGGAAAGTAAGCAACGTCATGTGAAGGGCTTCCTTCACAAAACCAGGTCGAAAGGCCCAAGACATCATAGCTTTTTAAGGAAGGAGCACGACCTGCCAATTGCATATTTATTGTTCTTTATAGTTTTGCAAGGGTTCCAAGCCAGCTAAGTACCATGGTATTGAGCCCTGTCATTCGTCGTTCCTCCTTCCTTTAGCTTGTCCAAACTTCCTTGCACAATCTTGCACATCCAGATACTATTCTTGAACATGTGGAAAGGAACTAAAACCAGCTGCTTTTGGATGGGTCCAGCAACACCTATCAATGATAGGTTGTTAACCTGTGCCACAACACGTGTCCAACACACCCGGTAGGCCGGTCGAGAAGAAAACACGCGACGACACACACACACACACCCTCACGACCTCCAAAGCACAAAGGAACCTGGAGTCTCAGTTCGTACCCCAGAAAAGGGGTACAAGAGCGGCTACAAGTACCTGATTTTATATAGGGTCACGTGCCCATGTTCTCAGGTACCTTTGGAGTCTAGGGAAACGAACCTGGATCTTTCAACTCGTTGCTCTGCCGATCCAGTCGTGCCTCCCACCGTCTCATGTCTCAGCGTTTCGGATTCCCCGACCGAGGGACCAGGTCTCTTCGTGGTGACCCGAGGGGGCAGGTTCTGTTGCTTCGAAAACCATGGGAGAGAGACTCACCCAGACACTCCAAACAGCTCCTTGGTAGTATAGCGATCTTCATTGATCTTCATTGATGCCAAATTTCTGCCGAACTGGGCTGCTTTTTTTTTGGATGAAAAGGCAGAAATTTGTCTCAGTTGGAAGATCCAGGTATATCGCATAGTGTTGCTACGCGCAGCTTGCAGTAGGAATCTTGGGCTTGCAAATCCCCAAGATCCATTTGAATATTCACGTCGTTCCTGCAAATCCCCAGGAATCTGCCACCCTTCGAGAATGTGATGGGAGACATTTTTGCATAAGGGGGGTCCAAGTATCTCTGAGAAGGTGGCAGTCGATGCCTAGGGTCAATACACACGCACCTGAACCCTCCAGAGTAACATGCGCTAGGACTGTACGATACTGTTTCCGAGGTACGAATTGACAGGTTGATTCGAGGGTGGAGCCACAACATGACAAAATGACATACTATAGGCCCTATGCAAAACAGAGTGCCAAAACTACACCTACTATGCAAAACACAGGTGCTATGGCAGGGCGGCGTACCAGCGTTTTCGAGCTGTACCTAGCTGGTGTTCATTGAACAGTAAGGGAACATTTGCATCTCCGCATCGGGATCTTCCGTTCCGAGCGGCCGGCCGACCACGAACGCAGAACATGTGGCAGCCTACGTAAACCCCGCATCCATCCATGGATGGAGGATGACTATCCCTAGAAGTCGTGGCCCACCATTGTTTTAATAGCCTGAATCCCGAACCTCCGAGCTGTTTTCCTCAGGGTTTTACACTACAAAACCAGAGCAACCATTTTAACAATGGTCGACTTGACTTCCAGGGTATAGCTGGTGTTTTCCCCGGTCGGTCTGGCGTCCAGGTGGAGCTTTGGATGGTCCGGGTGCCCCGTTCGGAACCGCCAATGTCGGCTAACTCCCCGGTGGAGGTTCAGCGAAGTCGGCTCCGAAACGTGGAGCCCTTTGGTTGTTCTGTTTTTTTTGTGTTGAATTTGTTGTTGTTCTATTTTTAGGAGGTTTAAGGGTCAAGGTGGTTTCAGTTCAGGTGGTTTCCGTGGTTAAGGTTTACGTTTAAGGGGTGTCCGAATTCGGATGTCCAGAAGGGCCCCAGAGACCGACCATCCTGAACAAGAAGTACTGTACTTTCACCTCCGGGCCACGACCATCCGGTCTGTACGGAGGTAGCTGGACAACTGGGGATGTTTCAGGTTTTGGGGGAGCGTCAATCTGAGGATGTGTTGGGTCTGTCCTATTTCCTGCAACAGGACCCGGTTTCACAAGCCAATCACTCTTTTTGGACTGTCGGCCTGCAGCCAGGCCCCATCATCCACTGAAACCAGGTAGACTCGGATAGACCCGAAGGATGTGGACGTTGGCTATTGGACTGGGGGTTCTGATTGGTGGCGTTCCTGGACGTCCGAGATGATCGGGACTACCCCACCAGCCCACCCAACGACCCTCCCAAACGACCCCGAATGGGTCGGACCCGGGTGTCTCGACCAGGGAAAGGGCTGTGAAGCCACGGAGCTCTGAGTCGTTTTCAGGATAGCTCACACGTGGACCCTTGCTGTGACAAGCTGAGAGTTCAGGACTCCTCCACATGTGAAGAGAAGGAACAGATCTCGGGTTTTCATGCAGACTTCCATGCACGCCAGGTTTCGTGGAGGCCTGGTGGTTTTGGGCCATGTCTTCGAACCCAGTCAGAAGTGACACCTAATAGGATGGACGTGTTGCCCAGACCTGATTTCCACCGTTTCCTCAGACCGCTTGTTGGGGCTTCTCCGGTACTGCGCACTTAGGATCCAGTACTGCGCAGAAGCGGCGGAACAGCGGGTGCCCAGCCCAGACCTGCCGCACCGAGCCCCTTGTGATGTGTGACGACGATATGCCCTGATGGTAGCTGTCCCAGAAACAAGTCTAAATGCGTCCCCAGCACGATAGTCCCTATGTACAGAAGCATCAGAAGCTAGCGAAGGAAAGTATACGCACTAGGTTGGAGGCCATCGATACGAACGGAGCAGTCGGACGCTAGCAGTGATCGAATCTCAACGATAACCGCCCACACCAGTGGCGCTGAGAGAGAGTAAATCCATGTATGGACCGGCTGGCCAATTGCTTCGTTATGTCTTACTTGCAAATTGTAAGCATTGGATCAATTGTTCGACCCCCTTGAAATTGGACACTTTCAAGATCTTTCAAGGCATTTCAAGGGATGTCGAACACAAAGTGATTATGTCATTAATTATGTTCAATAAACTATACAATGCGCATAATGAAGACAAGACTTAGAGATGAACGCAGCATGAAGTTCATGAATAAAGGAAAATAAGTATATGATATAATATATAATAATCACTCTTTTGGGGACCCTCTTACAACATGTTAGAAGTCGTACTTGCAACTTGCAACCAACAGTTGGATACAGTATAGTTTTCCGGCCCCCTTGGCATCGTACATTCTTCAGGGGGTCCAAATTGTATCCAACAATGCATGCAACAAATGAAAAAGTGTGTTCTGGATCCCCAAGAAAAATGTTCAATTTCAAGGGGGTCGAATAACAGAGTGAATAAACACGCTAAGTCACTAAACTATACAATGCGCATGATCGACACAAAGCTTAGAGATGAACGCGGCAACGCAGCATGAGTTGGATGAGTACAAGAAGTCTCTTTTTCTACTTTAATTTGGACCCTCTTGCAAGTTGATTAGTCCTGTCTTGCTTACAATTTGCAAGCAATTTGATATATGTGTCGATCTCCTTCATTTTGTGCACTTTTCAGGGTGTCCAAATAAAGCCATACAATTTGCAGGTAGTTTGTACAATACACCTTTCAATTGCAAGCAGCTGATGCATAAGATACCATCACAAACTATATATTGTCACCACCTGCTGCATATGATGCAATCATCAAACATATTCAAAGTGTTGAGAGGAGTCGTTTGTTTGCCTTTCATGAACCTGGTGATACAGCTGGTAGAACTGTGTTTTTTCCATGTTTCTCCCATGAAATGCCGTTTGTCATTGCTTTCTGGGTTGCCACATGCGGCTCAAACCCGATCCTGCATGCCAGAAGCCACAAACCGCTGATTTGTTGTTGGACATCAAACTAAACTGTCGCAAAACAAAATTCAAGCCCAAACACATCTCCTTTCAACTCCAATTCCCTCATGGCCATCTCCTTCCAACGAAAACCACCTCTCGAAGCACCCGACGACCCACGACCACCCGTGGCCTCTACGGGCGCCCGATCGGCGGTTTGCCGCGATCGGCCATGGACGTCCTGGGAAGCACGCTGCGGCGCACCGGCTCCAGCGTGGCGGAGAGGAGCAACAAGGCCGGAAATCGGGAGAGGATTCGGACATCGGGATTGTTGGTCCGTTCGAGGTTGGAGGCCATTGCAGGAAATACTGTCGCTACTAGGTTGGAGGCCATTGCTACTAGGTTGGAGGCCATCGTATCAGATATGTTCTATGGTCAGATAAGTAAGTGATAAGATAGTCAGGCTGATAGGCCACTGTAATCAGGGAATACAATACAGTGACCCAAAACAATTTGTTCCACTTGATCGTCCCTGGTTCAGATGAGACCAAGGTCGTTGGGTTCCTTTTCTCCTGTGGAACTAAGTCGGAGTGGCTCGTCCATACCCAGACGCTCCTGGACCCGAACCTATGCAGGGGTTGGACCCGAATCCTCGGGTATTCGGGGTCTGGGGTTTCGAACCAATCCCTACGGTTTTGAGGGATTGAGGGCTGTGAACGGAGCGTCTGGATATTGACAACTCCAAGGGCTAGCATTGAGGTTTCCGCGGTCTATGACAGGCCGGCTCACTGGATTGAAGGCTCTCTTGACAGACGTACCCGGCAGGCACATGTGTTCTAGAGAAAGGAGAGTCAAACTCAAACACCCCAACTCTGACCTGGAACCAAACAGGTAACGCGGAAAACTGTACTGACAAGAGTACACAACCATTAAAAGGTTTAGATAGGTTTAGTAAGTTTGGTTTGGTCAGACAAAGTAGAGAGCTGAGCCCACACTGCCCGATCAATAGGATCAAGATCCAAATTCATGGCATACCTTCCTTCTGGGCTATTTCTGATATAAATTCCAATCAATGAGAACAGTCCAAAGAGCTGTTGATAGTGATGTCATTGATTCTATAGAAACTAACACTACATGTATTGTTGCGCTGGTTGAACCTTGCAGGTCCTGAAAAAGGTTGAACGTTGCAGGTCCTGAAAGGGTCTGATGTGTTTCCGGCCACTGTCGTGACTGATCAATGTTTGAAGAATTTTCACATGTCTGACTCAGAAGATATTTTTCAATCCTTGTCCCTCGGGATCCAGTCGTACCTTCTCAGGTTCAGTACGACTGGACCCGACAACGGCACCTGCATTATATACCAGGACCCTCCAACAGGTCACCACCTGCAACTTTTATGTCTACAAGAGCCTCCATGTCGGAGACCTGTTGGAGGGTGCTGGTATATATATCATATCATATATTATATGGTGTCTCCTTCTTCAGCATACCTGAGGTTTGGTATGACAGCGGATCCCTTTTAAAAGGGTGTTTCCAGTGCCTGGCCCCGGCTTTCTCAGGAGATGGGTGCGCTGCCCACAGACAGCGTCATGCAGTTTCAGCGTCTCATCGACAGCGAGAGGTCTCGAGGTACGTCTTGAGGTCTCGAGTTGTCCTGTCCAGCGCGAGGTCAACAAACATGGCCATGACTTGCAGAGACTTGTGCACTACGTGCCGGGTGTGATTGTTGGTGTGATTGTTGGCTGAGGGGGAAGCAGTTGTCCTTTGAGTCTCCACATGGAGTTCCAAATAGGTCCTTTGAGATGATTTCACCCTGCCGTGACACCCATGCCTCGCATGTTCAGAGATGTTCAGAGTGACGCAACTGGACCACCACCCGAAGCCACGACGCGACCGTCCGAAGCTGTCAACGGCGACGGCCTCGGCGACGAAGGTTCGTAGCTTCGAGGATGGGTCATGACCCGAACTACCACCTGGAACCCCAAACAACCATTTCCCATGTAAAGGATTTCAAGCAAGCCATATTGGAACAACCATTGATTTCAGGCAGGAGTCACATTTCCCTAAGGGTCCAGGTACCTCCGTTGCTCGGATGGTCGAACGGAGGTTTTCGTTCGTACGAAACCAGAGAATGGTCAAAGCAGGACATCCGAGCTGCTCGGATGGTCCTGGACCCTTCGGGGAACTACCACCTGGAAACCCAAACAACCAGAAACTAAATGATGTTCCAATATATGGCAATTGAAATCCTTTACGGAAGTGGCTGATTGGGGAAAGATCCATTTGTTTCTGGTTGTTTGGCTTCCCAGGCAGGAGTCACGGGGTGCCCAACGAACGGAGGGGAGTCGGAGTGCCGATGCGTTCGACGGATGGGACGAGGCAAAGCACCCAACTCATGACTGGCGTAGTGGCTTTCGCTAGGTACCTGGTGTCTCAAAGTTACCCCAGAAAATGGGTACCAGGAGACCCCAAGGGGTGCTGTTTGAACCCTAAGGGGTGGTTAACAGACACCCCTTACCACCAATTGGTATAGATGATATTTTAGTTTGGGTCACATCCCATTTTCTCAGGTACCGTGAGGAGGGTCTAGGTCGCGGAGGATCGCTCCGGGTTATCGGCCTTCGCCTGCGGCACGTCCGCGGCACGTCCACGTGGTTCACCGAGGCTCGCTTTGCGGGTGGAGCTGGAGAGGCTGGGAGAACACGTCCGTCTGGGACAGTTGGGGTGGTTGACCAGGGGGGTCAAATGGGGTCAATGTATAAGCATATATGGCAGTCCCATGGAGTACGGGTATTATACTCATCCATCATCAATCCATCATCATATTTGCCTGTGTAGTATACATTGGGGTCAGTATTGTTTGAATCAAGGGTTCATGCGGTCCATGTATAATGTATTTTCATACATGGATTGTTTCGAACAGGATGGTAAAGGAGTTATCAATCCGATTCGAATGGGTCCGTCATCACTTCGCATCGCCGGCCTGGAAAACCTCCCATCGCCAGGCAGACTAAGCAGCTGGAGGATCTGCTGGCGAAGCAGGTGGCGGATGTCGGCAGTGCGTCGGAGGGACCTCAAGGCTCACAATGATGTTCAGACCAGAGATTGCCTTTTTACTGTGGGTTGGTTGATAAACAGATCGAGGGGATACCCTCAAGTGTATGTACAACCCACACGCAAATGGTACCAAAACCCCTCTACAATTCCCAAGTACGGACAGATACGGACATTATTTGGTTCAGACGCCAGCAGGAGGAAAAAGGTGCTTAACTTAGAGGGCCGCCCAGAATCACTACTGGCTAATCAATCATCCCTTTGGAACTGCTGGTGTGGGGTTCATTCATGAGTTTTCAGATGCTGTTCAATTACGGAGCTAGACTCCTAGGTCCTATGACATTTAGATATGGCATTCAGTTGTCGTGCGCAACGCAGATGAATATGATGGACTTTGACCATCTGACAGATGGTGGTGGAAGTGGCAGAAGCAAATTTCTACACCACCCAAGTCAGACCCCATTTGGCAGAAGATCACCTTCCCTATAGCATTAGGGATCCACGTACCTTCACAGAGAAGGTACGACTGGACCCTCCATGCCTATGTAAAAATGTCTCCCATCACCTTCTGAAAAGGTATTTGGATCCCTAAGGTATATGTATTTGCAGGAACGATCCGAATATTCAAAGGAAATCTTTGGGATTTGCCCAGGATCGCTCAAGTGATAGGCTTCATACTGCAAGCCAACGCGTAGCTACACTACCGCTCTTCCCAACCGTAGGTCTAGAAAAGTTTTTG